TGAATCATTTGGCATGTAGCATCATCATGAGGTTGATAAAGGTTTGTGACACTAAGACCGTAGTGCTGAAGCACCTCCCTGTCAAATTGCTTCTCGGTCGACGCTGTCGAAGGCCTTTTCAAAATCGATGAAGTTGAGGTGAAGATCCAGTCGACTGTCATTCTATGCTCTGTTCTGTGATGATGCGTATCGTTGCGTAGTGTTTCAATCTGGTCCAAACATGATTTGTTCTTCCTGAAGCCAGCCAGCCAGCCTGTTCCAGTCGTAATTTTGAACCCAGAGCATTTTTAGTCACTCCAGGATGATGTGGTTTAATATTTTGCTTGCTTTGAGTGGACAGGGATGGAGCATGATTCGGCGCCAGTTCTTGCAAAGACTTGGGCCACCCCTCTTTAGAGTTTGACAGGTAGTCCTTCTTCCAATCATGGCCAGGTACCTTGCCTTCCTTCCTTCCTTCCTTCCTTCTTACAAACCTCGTTCAGTAGTGGTGTGGTGTGAGCATGTCCGCCGCTGTTGTCTCTGAGTCTGTTTTCAGTGCTTGTGGTGGAATTCCATCTGGTCCTGCTGCTTTCCTGCATTTCACCGACTTTATGGCGTTCAGGACTTCGACTTTTGTCAGAGGGCTTGTGTTCACTGGCAGTTCTGCAGTTGCCGGTGGTATTTCTGGACAACTTGCAGGTAGTGGTGGTGGTTGATTCAAGAGTCTTCTGAAGTGGTCAGCCCATTGTCTCATTTATTTCTCCTCTTTCGTGACTAGCTTTCCTTCACTATCTCTCATTGGTTTCATCTGAGTTGATCTCTTCCCTACCACATAGTGAGTGACCTGGTCATTTGATACAATGTTGTCAGGTCTTTGTCTCTCCTAGCAGCAGCCTACCAGCAGCTTCACTTGCCAATGTGTCGTAGAAGTGTCTCTTGTCTTTCCGCGCACTCTTCTTCACTTCTTTGTCCAGTGTAGTGTTTTATAGGTTGTGTTCAGTTCCTCTTTACGTTGTTCATGCATGCACTGCACTGGTTCATCTTCTGCTTCACCATCACCATCTTCCTCTCCCTACTGTGTATCAGATTCCATGTGTCAGTGGAGATCCATTCCTTATCTCGCCTCACTTCTTCTCCCCTCCTAACACGGTTATGCAGGTTTCCTTCCACGTCTCTTTCACACAGTTCCAGTGTTCTCCCACGCAGGTCTCTTCGGGGATGTTGCCTTGTGTCCAGTAGGCTGCGTCTCCACTTTCTTCACATTGAGATGAAGTCGATCTGATTTTTAGTGTAGTGTGTCCTGGTGTCTGGTGAAATCAAATCCATGTCGCTGCCTTGTGAATATCCTTGTGTTTGTCTACAGTGCCTCCTGTCACCAAATCGTTGAATGCACAGAAGTCTGCAAACAGTTCTCCACTCTCCTTCATTTCACCGAGTGCCTCTCCACCCATGATGAGTTCTCTTCCTGTGTTGTCCACTCCCAGTTTGGCATTCATGTCACCCCACCATTAGAATTTTGATGTCGCCAACTGGTTAGTGGTCTTGTCCAGTACTGATTGCAGTTGTCTGTAGAATTCCTCCTCCTTCTCTTGATCTGTATTACTTGTAGATGCACAGTGTAGCGTAGCAGTGTATGATTGCGACTTTCCTTCCTTTTGAGTTCAATCCATCTTGGTGTCATGATGCTGATCCTGCATGAGGAGATTGGTTTCCACTGCATGAGAGAGAGAGCCTTCGATGCTATTTGAGATATCATGGCAACCACTCGAAATCTTAGTGTGCTCGCTCGCTCGTGGTTGTCGTCTGTGTGATAATATCTGAGTAGATTATTAACTCCCCAGTTAAGAGTTTTGAGAGTCCACTCACATCCCATCTGCTTTCGCAGATTCCTAGCCTAACACTTCAATGCTATACCTCCTCATGTCTTTTGCAATCTGGGCAGCGTTGCCAGCCAGCCAGTCAGCCAGCTTCAAACATTGTTCGGACATTCCATGTCGCCATGTTAATATTTGCTTTCATCGAGAGAAGAGAAGACATCACATCAGCCAATTGGCTTCCCGAAGGCAGGCTTTCACCAACCGGCGTAATTTCGCCTCTCCGATTCCAGCGAGGAATCAGTTTGTTTTTATTTTGTGCTTTGAAGTTTCTTTAGTGGTTGGATTGGTTTTCTAGGGTAGGGTTGCTAGCCCTATGTCCAACCTTCTCTCTTTACCCGGACTTATTACTGGCTAGTTACTAGTGAACTAGTTAAGTTAGCGAGGTAATAGCGTCCCATGTTGTCACTTATTTTCAGTCTTATCGTTTTAGAAATTTATGTTGTCTGTGCATTATAGCGGATTATGCCATTGTAATCACAGTTGAATGGCAGCTTTTGTTTCCCTCTTCTTACTCGTATACCTATGATATTCTAAGTTCAGAGTTCCTCCAAAGATTATCTCAAGTACTATTCATCGTTTCCATTCAGGGAAAAGTCAATGTACTCTCAGAACTTCTGTATACTTTAAACATTTGATCAAAAGGGAAACAATCTTTCTAGGTTGTCAGCATTGATAAGGCATTCCCTGTTCACCAATATAATAACTTTAGGCGTTGAGGTAGAGGTTTTGAATTGTTTTTTGGGGGGCGATCGAGGTCAACGAGGAATAATTGGTGGTGTACGGCTACAAGAGTATTCTGGAAAGATAGCCTAGAGAGTTTCATGTTCAGTCCAATTTATATTTATAAATAATACACCTACCCTCTAGGTAGGCTCTGTTATTGTGAACTAATACCACTGAATTTTCATCTTCTTGGCTCATTGGTGTAGGTAGTAAACTTTCAACCCGTGTCACGGGTTCGAACACCACTCTACCTACCGATGTTTGGGCAGCTCAGAAATAATCTCATTATCTTTATCTTAAGATTCACACTGAATTTCACCATTGTCTCATTCCTCCTTGTTCTCTGGCAATGACTTTCTACCGATTTTTACTGCTTTCTTCCTTATTTCCCTATCGTTCATCTCTATGAATTTTCGTTAGTTGTGTTGATATGTAGTGTGGCTACTTGGACCATTACGCAGTATACCAGGTCACATGTTGATACTGACTGGCTGAACGACCAATAGTAGGGACATACCAGTTTTGGTCGTCGACGATCTCTCTGTTCCTTTATCGTTCAATTACACTAGCTTTTTTGTGTTGCACAATGATTTTGATGTCTACCTCTTCAAATAATGTTTCTCTTGACATGTACCCTCTACTTTAAGCAAGCATAGCTTGTAAATAACTAAGCTCCACGCGATCAGTGAAGTCACTACTCCTGCTGTTCTTCCAAGATGACCCTATAGAGTCCTTTTATAGGCAATAAAAATTTTAGAGTTAACAGATAGAAAGCCTAATCAAAGCACTTCAGGAAACTATTATATTAAGATATGTGAGATATAACATCAGTTCCTATATTGTTTTGTATTTTAGCGAAATATACTTCTTGGTTAGTGTTATGCCTTGTAATTTCTCGTCGTTGATTTGATAAAATCGATCAGCCACTATTGGCATATAGCCTCCTTCATGAGTGCGTCAATATTGAGCGTAATTTCAGCTTGTTAATAATGATAGGTAGGGGCTAGCATTGGAATCCATAATTTGCGTTTCTCCCTATGTGCGACTCGCCAGCTGAATGTGTCTGCCCCAAGTAACTGATTTCGTTACCGCTGAGACTCGAAAACAGAACCCATCACTTCAAACGCCAGAGATTTATCCATCATTACCAACAAATTGAAACTGCGAGCAACATTGAGGTATCTTCGAGGGGACCCATATGCCTGTAGTGAGTGGCCGGTCATTCCCTTCTAAACAACGATGGAAATTTACAAGCTTTAGCATCAAAACTTTACTATTCCCCTCGAAAAAGGAGTGACTGTCGTGACTGAGTGGCCAAGTAGATAACGCCATGGCATTTAAAATTATTGGTTCTGTGTTCCAGTCTTAATGAAAACAACACTGCACCCAGCTGACGAGTTCAGGATAGGAAGAAACGTGTCCTGGATTCAAATCCTGGTCACTATATGTTATTACTATGATATTCTTTGTATAATGTGCAGCTTGGTGGTAGGCTCATGTATCGTATACGCTACCGGAGTAGCTAAGTCAGGTCTCAAACGCTGAATGAACTACAAAAAGCAACTTTTTGCTTCAAGTCAATCACAGTAAGCTGCCGATTAATATTAAGATCGGGATATTAGACAACATAATAATGTGATACAAGTATAGAGAGCGAAAATGAATTATATATGCTAAGCATTGGATTAGGTACTCAACTTTCAGCATGTTGACTCAAGCTCTAATCTCACTATACCTACCGACGTTTCGACTGCAATATACTCTCACATCTTGAACACAATAGGCACAATTTGTTGTCTGGTGAATAAATCTGGAAAATAAGTTCGAACGTTCTTACTGAGTTGCTTTTCATGTGTTATGTATAAGGGTAAATTCAAGATTTATTAAAATATAGATATGTAATGTTATTAATGATACATGTCCACCTTTCTCAACAATACTTTTGATAGAACTGTGATACTTCTCGTGCGTCTGCAACTATTGAGTTGGATTTTAGTTCACAGTACTGTTGAGTAACGTAGGAGTTACATTTTCATGTTAGTCCGTACCCACATTAATAGCATACCACTCACTTTATCTAGTATTTTGTAGCCCATTCGCAATAGTTTTTAAAAAAAGATTTTCTAAAGTATTTCACACCGATCTTTGGTGTTGGTCAATCTGCCCTTGTGTTTCGAAGTTGTTCTGACATTTCTCTTGGCCATAGATACTGTCTTCTCATAAAAGCAATAATTAAGATTATTTGATCAGTGCTGTAAATGCATGACTAAGAGCGCTTTAAAAGGAAATATGAACCCTATATATTCCTCTCCGAAAAATGAACTGGACTGATTTCGTTTTCGATATATGTAGTTGTACCCTATTGTTTTCATCGCTTTTCGTTTCCAGTTTGTTCTTCAGGATACTTAACTTCCCTTGGCTATGTGTGATGCAGAAAAATCAAGTGATGACCTAGTTGTACAAAACAGCTGTCTACATAGTACTCGTGTTGGCAGTATCACATCTCTACATTCCATTTTGGAGCTGATCATTCACCAAAGAGAAATTCGTACTGGTAAATCGAATACTCATATTGATTCTAAGTGATTATTGAAGGTAAAGTGAAAATTTGGACTGTGGCGGGACTTGAACTAACGACCACCTGGTTTCCGGCCTGGTGTTCTACCAGCTGAGCGATGAGAGACCCGACTGCTGACCACATTTTTATTTCACCTCAATCAATACTCGTTATTAATCGAGATAGTATATATATGTAATATATATTACTCCAACGCTGCTTTCTTCTACAACTTTGTATAAGCCAATCAACTGGGAAATTTATGTTAAAATTATCCATATTCTGCATCTCAATGATAAGTTGTCCTACAGAAGAAATTAATTACATTTCCCTGATCTGTTCAGTTTGTTACGGAAGCCACTTTAGTATATTTATCATATGAACCTATATCTCACTAGTCTAGGTAGTCAACTTTCAATCAATGGGTCACGGATTCGATTCTTGCTCCATCTGTCAATGTTTAAACGACTACTTCGTATTTTTAGCCATTAAACCAATAGATGTGGCTCTTCATGTAGTACATAAATTTGCATTTAGTTGCTGATTTATGCTTAAAAAAAAGTGTACAGAATTATCACCGTGGCCTTATTTGCTTACATTAATGAGTATTTTCTGTGTATCTGTACCAGGTTGATCAAATTTAAAAAGTCTGCAAATTCTACATAAACTTATAGGAATTTGACTTTTGCAAATAGTTATTCACTTTAGGACTTGGTTTAAAGCACCTTATTTGGCGATATAAATTAAAAGTAATTCAATAAATCTTGTAATTTCTATCAATTTCATAGTCATTAACAGTGGATCTTTGAAAAGGAAGTCTAAAATTATCGGAAATTAGCATAGCACCTTTTGCCACTTTAGAACCTCCTGGGATAAGTTAATCGTCTCATAAAGTTGAAATAGGAAGCAGTCAGCAGTTGATTACATTGGCTAAAACTGAAAAATGTCAAGCAGTTATGTTGTACTACTCTAGCCTAAATGATATTGTTGTAGAAAGATTTTATGTTTCTTTTAGTTTGTTACCTGCTGTCAATTCCTAAAATCATGCATAGATTAGTCGTGCTACCGAATTCACCCGTTTATAAAACTGATTTGTCCCTAATGCATGAAAAATATGGAGGTGAAGTTTGCTCCTCTGTGGTGTGTTTTTCAAAAATATTCACTCTAACTTCGATCTACTCCTTGTTACTATCTATAACTAACTAGTCTGTTTTCATGCATTTTTTCATCACTTTCCTGCATTTTAGAGCGTATTTTATGTCACGGTTTTGACAGTGACATCATGAACGTGCATAATGTTTTCTGGTCTGATTTGTTTACCCAAGCATTTCTATCACCGAACCTGGAGAATCCACTCGATGGACCAGGAGATGATCTTCTTTTTTTGTTCATCATATTCATCAAAATGATCAGAAGGTAATTCAGTCGTTTGTTTTGTTATTATCAGTTAAGTGACTTAAACACAATACTCTATGTGAACATAGAGTTGTTAACACAAGTTACTGTTATTCGCAACAGAGAAATAGTATCCAGCTCATTTTGGAGTTTGGTAAAGTCAACACTTAAAGTCGATAAACAGGTGTTGAGATAAACATAGACTTTGGATTAACGTTTATAATGATAACTGATACAAGATTTTAATCAAAAGTTCACTTATATTTTGCTGATAAATTTCGTAATAGTTAGAGATCCTATACATTTGTTAGTACAGCATGTTAGCCAATAGATTTGAACTCTGGACCTATCAAAAACGTATGATTTTACCTAAGAAGCATAATTTTGTTCTAAAACAGCACCGTATTTCAAGTGGTTAAAGCTCACTAACATCTGAAATAGCTATCTTCTAAACAGATTTTCAAAAAATGTGTTTTATGATAAAATTTCTCCACTCATTATTCAGTGACAAGATTTGTTTTAATAGTTCACTCTAGCAATATACACTACGCAGTTTTCATGCGTTACCTTTATTCTTTCGTTATCTGAAAAGCTTTAAAATTTTAAGTAATTACACTTTTCAGATGGAATCTTCACTCATTGACTTAGGGGCTCAGTTTTAAAACTGTGGATTGTTGGCTTTTAATCCCTATCCCCTTTCTTAGTTTTGCACACTCAGGCAAAATTGATTGCTTATCTGATGAATGTGTGCTCGGTAACTGAGTTGCTCTTATTCTTGAGAGAATATATGATAGGACTTAAATCACAAGCGGGCTATATAACGATTTATCTTTGAATCCATTTTTTCATTGCTTATTATCTGAATGTTTGTTTAATAATGATAATATATTTACTTTATTTCGAAGTATAATTATGCATACAGTACAGAATTCTTAGCACATGCTATTGCATACGTTTACCCATTGTACAACATTTTTAAAACACCAACCAACAGTGGTGCTCTTAACAATATATTATAGGGAATAACATGGTTGTTGAAATGTTTAATGACTTACTTCAAGGATATGATAACTGTTCGCTATTGCAAGGTTGGTTGATAAAAATGTTTGATGTGATTTTCTTCACATAATACAAAAGATAAAAGGTATGGTTGAATTTTTGTGTGTATTTGTGCGTGCATAAAGTTTAATATATTTGCTGTCATATCTTCTTAGAGGACAGACATACAGAAAAGTGTAGCTGCAAAAGATGCTTATCATCAGATAAAAAATTTTTAGCCAGCTGTCTACCACTGTTCAGATGCCTATCCATGACTACATTTATCAGTACAATTAGTGGTGTTCCACTTACTCTGCCAACAGCTTTCAAAATCCTACGCAATACATCATAATCTTTTTTCCAGAGTCCAGGAAAGAATAAGGGAAAACAATAAGTAAATATAGGTTAAATGAAGAAATTAATGAAACTTAAGAGTGGAGATTGAGTTATGCCAGGTAGTCTGAGTTTCTTTATATAAGAGATCAAGCGAAGAATTTTTCTGAAAATCAAGATTTATATGATTCGGGTTAACATAAAAATATCTTTTTATTTTAGTTTCATGTAACTAGTCAATTTTTAAAACTCTGGTCGATTTTTTTCATCAAGCAGTCTGAAGTGAACATAACTTTGATACGTGCAAGTGATTTAAAAGTATCAATTATTTTTCTAGTTTTTCCACTAACGTTATCTTCATTGGGTTTTTTTCAGCCAGAATTAAGTGTCTTTCGTAGAAATAGTCCAAATCTCCCGAAATTGGTAAATGATAATATTGATTGGGAGGAGACAGTATACCTCAACTTACTGATGCAATATGTAAGTATATCAATGAAATGTATTATTATTTATTATTTATCCCTTGGGTTCCTAATGGAACATAGGGCTTCAGTAGCACGTCTCCAATGCGCTCTGTTCTCTGAAATCTTTTGAACCTGGCTCTACGACAGCCCACAAGCTCTTATTTCCTCCTCGCACCATCCCCTCCATGTCACCCTCTGACGCCCAACTCGTCGCTTCCCATCTGGGTTCCACTCGAGTGACTGTCCTGGCGCGTGATGTCTTCAGTCGGCCTTCTCAGTGTATGCCCAATCCATCTCCACTTCCTTCTGCATATTTGTTGTGTGATAGGTTCTTGGTTGGTTCGTTGCCAGAGTTCTTTGTTGCTTATTCTTATTATTCTGGCCATCTGATATTCAGTAACGAGCCATCGTAGGCAGTTGTTGATTAGTGTCTGTAATTTGTTGGAAATGCCTTTCGTAACGCGCCAAATCTCTGAGCCATACAGAAGCACTTACTTGACGTTGGTGTTGAAAATCCGTATGTTGTTCTTTATGCTGAGTGCAGTTGATCTCCAAACTGGTTTCAAACTAATGAACGCCTGTCTTGATTTTCCGATCCTGGCTTTGACGTCTTCGTCTGTGCCACCTGTAGTTGAAACAGTGCTGCCTAGATAGGTGAAGGAGGTTACTTCCTTTAAGTTTCTCCCGTTAATGGTGATTGGAACTTCTTGTTGTTGTTGTTGGTTGGAGATCTTCATCAACTCTGTTTTCTGTACGTTCACTTGAAGTGCAGTCTTCGCTGCCTCTTTTTCGACTTGCTATTCTTCGCCTGTAGTTCTTCGAGTTTGTGTGACATTAGACACAGGTCATCGGCGGAGTCCAAATCTTCTAGGTTATTTTCCGCAGTCCAGCGTATCCGCCTCTCCTCGCTCCTCACGGTCTGTTGCATGATCCAGTCCACTACAATCAGGAATGGATTAATGTATTGCTAAACTGTTTCAACTGTTGGTATGATCATGGGCAGTAATTTTACTTGGAATATTACCAAAATAAAAACTTGTGTGTAAACCTTGTATCAATACATTTGTAGTATTTTTTTTAAAGGACAGCTTCCCCAAATTTCCCTTTTTTTTATTTTTGTCATTTGTCTTTTTTGTTGTGCAAAACTACGGATAATGCATTAGGAGTGAATTACAATAATCTACTGTTCATTCTTTAGTAGATTTGTAGTATGTTGGTAGTCCAGACAATTACTTGTAAACTAGTGGAATATTAGTGGACAACTCAGCAGTGATGTATGGGTTCATCTGCTAAACTAAATGTGTGTGAAGGCTATCTGGCTACCAAAATTCGGAATGTGAGGTGGAGTTCACACTCACAAATTACCAGTTGAAAATCGTGTGCCTAAACCAGTGAGCCATAAATCCACTGGTCAGGGGGTTACAGGTTCAAATTTGTTGTATCTATGGAAATCTGATCATTGGGGTAGCGTAACTAGGTATCACACGTATGTGAGGACTCAAATGAGATGAAATACACTAAGAAACCAACGTCCACGTTCATCCAATAGGCAATGAGCTACACTTATTGTGTGAAGGCCGGTGACACTACTTGGCTGCCAACACCCGGTGGGTGGGGCGGTGTTCGAACCCATGAGAGCCCGAATGCACCTACAGATGCTAATCCGATACAAATATCTTTCATTTGACGTCTCTCATCATAAACTGACCACTATTGTCTCACAATACTAGTAAATATGACCATTTTTGACCTGCAATAAACATGGTGATATTCAAGCATCTAAATGAGAGTAAACAAGTGATTATGCACCGCTGATCTGAAAGAACTCTGACCTCGTTAGTCAGTTTTTGATGAGTCATACATAGTCTGTGAAATACGAAAAATTCCATTTAGTTGCAAACAAATAGTAATAGAATAATGCCTTAGTATCTTTTTATACATTAAGTAGACATTTTCGGAAATAGGTTCTAACATAATCCCGTTCTAGAGTCATAGAATTCTGTCGATTTATCAAACTCTTCTAAAGAGATCACTTCGACAACCGAAATGTCTCTTTTACGTTTAACAACATTCAATTACAACTTATCTAGCCCTTTCACTTCTTGGGTATCCGAGCACTGAATTCTTTCCGGACATGCTTTTTGTTGGACGGTTGGATACTAATCTGCCTAGAATAATAGGACTTCGTGGTCTTCTTTTTCGTTGCTTTACTGCAACAGTGGCTTATCAGACTTGCAGTTCTAAAGTTTCAGCTCAGAATCCCGGATATCTTTGTAGATTGTTTGCCGGTAAGTTGTCAACGTCACAGATTATCTTACTGACTCAAGATTGCTTGGTCCTAAAAGCCTAGACGACCTTTTGTAGAGGCCAACTATGGTCAGAAACAACCGCTGCTCCCATCTTATTTCACGAGGTCTGAAAACAGGCTTTTGGTTTTCAAATATATATTGTTTAGTTTTTCTTCTAAGGGACTTGTTCAAACGAGCGTGATTACTATGCTCCGAAGTGGCAATAAGCTCACAAAGGATTAGTGCTTACTTTTAGAAAACCAAATCATGCGTTGCTGATTTCAGCATAATCCGTTCTAGTTTGACATTAACTAGTAGATAAAGTGTCGAAGATAACATATTGTTAATGTCTGTCGCTGGCTGGGAACTAGCTGTGATCTGTCAAAAGCTGACGAAGTTTCTCTTTATTTAATTTTCAACTAACTGAATCTCCGGAAGGCTGTTTTCAGCCTCCACAACCGGCCTATACTGAGCACCAGAATTAAGGACTCAACAAAATCATCCATATAGGCTAAATATATTCTTTATCTTTTCAAAATAATAGGAGCACAACGCACTTCTCACTCTTCAGAAATGGGAGAAACTATCCAAGAAGCTGGCTTCCAGTAGTCAATAACTATCTTTTCTTTACAAGTATCTTGGTTAGCATGTTTGCTGGATAGCGTCAAATGTAGGCTTAGAATTGTCTTATCGATGGAATGGGAAAAATGCCTAACCATAATGGTGGAAGAATGATGCAGTTGACGATTACCGGAGTAAATTATCGGGCCCGGAAGTACAAACTTATCGTTGACGCTCAAATAATAAGACTGTAAGGTATACTTATGACACAGCATTTAACACCATTAACAACAACAAATAGAAAATCAAGTAGGCAACATAAAAAAATACAAGTAATTTCCTCGGAAGATAACTGAACAAAATTTGAAAGGTACTAATAATAGAAGAAACGAAGGATTCTATTTTCAACCAGTCACTGACGAGGATTGAATTTTTTCAAAAAGGACTGAATCACGGTACAAAAAATAACTCAAGACCAGGATTCTTCGCTGCACTTAAGTCATCACTTGAGACATCGCAATTAAATAAGGAAACTCAACATGAACTATGGGGGTAGCGGACTGATCAAACAGAAAAAATATCTCAACTTATTACACTGGAACAGAAGGCGGTAGAACTTAAGAAAAACATTGTTATGCTCACAGTAGAAAAAGAGCCTAGCTTTACATTAAGAAGATTAAAGTTTTACTGAAAGACGAAAATGTATATCAACCAATTCAAATTATTCTTATTCAAAAATTCGACAACTATATCACCGAAACCCTTAGCAAAGTCATCAAATCAGGACGAATAAATAATGCCAGTGGCGAATGAAATCTAATAACCAAAACTACACAAACCGAAGATCCCTCTACGACCAGTAATCTCACTTTTGTAGTCCCTGGCCTACAGTCTATCTAGAGAGATTTTGAAAAAAGTGAAATGCCTTGTAAAGTTATGCAGATACTCCATTGATTCTCTGACAGAACTTTTGGAAGAAACCAATGGCGCTGATTTATACAACGACAAATTAATGGTACTTTTTTGAGTCACAGCATTATAGACATCACTTAAGCCAAAACTGGCTAATGATACTATATTTCACGGGCAATGCAAAACTTTCAGAGCTCACAAAACTTCAGTGTTCAAGTATGATGGAACTTATCTATCTTTGTCTAACAGCATACTTCTAGTTTATTACTAAGATATAAAACAGGTGAAAACAACTTCAATGAAATCACTGACAGTTGAACTAATTGTAGAATCAGTAGTAATCCAGAGACTTGAATTCATCATTTTTTCTGATGATCAGGCTGAAAAATTGGCTTAGGTCGACAACACTTTTGTTATGACTGAAAAGCTTTCACGAATTCATCAGAAACGTTTTTGATAATATCGATTTCCCAGTAGAGGAGAAATCAAACAAAAGAATGTGTTTGGGTTTGTAAAACCAACATGGAAAATTGCATACTGATCATATCCTCAAGTTTAATAACAGCAGTCCCAATGTGCGCAAAACTGGTTGCTTATCGACTTTATTTCAAAGAGCACAAACATACTGCCGTGCAACTTCCTCTGGGGATTGTCAACTGACTGTCCTAAAAAAATGGTCATCCACCCAAGTCGATGAGATATTTGTCCAACACATCAACTACAAAACCCTTTATAAAGATCAACAACCTGATCATCGAACCATGAGTAAGAATTATATCGTACTTCCCTGCAATATTACTGAATCAGCTTGCAATTGGCATAGCTCTTGAACCAAATTATTCCCTCCAGGTTATATTATACATATCAAAGGACTCAAGATATGAAAAATCTAAACTAAATGTTATTCCCTTAGTTAACTACAATCAATACTACACTGGACTGAGTGATTTTCTGGCAATAAACATCACAAGATTTTGTCTTATGTTCATTTCAACAACTATGTCAATGAATTTGATCTTGGACAGCGGAAACACAGAATGTCGAAAAATTCCCACAGACTTGGCATCCAAGTTCATCAGCAATTAATAGGTGTATAGGGAGACGCAACCCACCAATCAGTAAGGAAGATGATAAGTACCTTCAAGTTTGGACGTCAATCAGGAAGACAAACAATGAGAATATCTATGGAGTCAATAACAACAATCTGAAGGAGCTACAAATTACATGCTGCTTCATCAGAACAGGTTATCAAATTACAGGGAGGTACTAATTCCTGACTTCATTTTGGAGTTAGTGCTGGTGATTTTGTCCTAAAGGACGGTAAAACCTTTGCTATAAAACCTTCCAGCTCAGAGAACGCTTGGTTATCAAAAGAGAGCTATGGCTTTTTGCTTCTCTTTACTCGAGAGTAACTTACGCTTTCTGGTTTCTTAGAGAAAATCTTTAGCTATGGTATGTGGACTGAACTTTTGTGGGGAAACACTACTTATTGTGGTCCTCTGGAATAACTAGTTAACGTATTTCATATATATATATATATATATATATATATATATATATATATATATATATATATATATATATATATATATATATATATATATATATATATGCACTCAGTACTTTCTAAACTTATCTCTACAAGACTAGTCACTAGTTCCATACGTGTGTATTGATACAGTTTAGCGTTTCCGGCTGAGTCATTATTTCATCCGTGGGAGCTTTCATATTGACCAAGACAAATGAGACAGAGTTGAAACTTGTGACTCATTAATTAGTAGTTTGAAGTGTACATCTATAACTACATCTACAGCGCCTTTTTAAAATTTTATTATTCAGTCGTTTACATCGTTCATGTGGTATTCACTATCAAGGAGTTATTCTTCCAAGACAACTGTTCTTTTAAAGAGTGAAGTGTCAGTCACCATTCTTTTCTCGATACTTCAGCATCAGAGACACTGAAGAAGGATAAAATAAACTGGATGAAGAGAATCTGATATAGATTCTCGCACAAAAGTGCATATGTTTCAATTGCCACACTTATCAACACCACCGAAAAAAGTTGAACTAATATGTAATTGTGACTTATTTAATGCCTATGCTACTGAAAGTCCTCAGCAACAGATTTTCAGCATCTTATCGATCCCAAACAGAAATTTTACTTTTCCCCATACAACCTAAACCAGCAATCGAAGACTCTATAGATTAGTAAGATTCTTTGAGTTTAGCATACTTAGAATGACTTCCGACTTGATCATACTCCAGATAAAGCTATGCAATCGTATTTTTTCCTGTAAAATCCTTTTGTTTTAATATTGGAGGAAATTCGAATTGTTTAAAACTTTATTGATCCTATTTCAATTTTTCAGTTTGTCTACATCGTAACTGTTGCTGTGTGTACGCGTACTGGACCTCAAGAGTGGCAGATTTTAAGAAAATTTTCTCAAGTAAGCTTTTCTCTAATATTGTTACACTGATTCTTTGAAAATGTATGTACATTGGAGCAACTGTGAACAACTGATATGACTAACTTGGTTTCTTTATTTCGGCTAGAAAGATAGTTGTTTATACATACTACGGAACTCTAAATAATTTTTTTTCAGTAGCTATTCGGTTGGCTTTCAGAGTGACTAGGTTACTGCTGTCCAGGATAGGTTCGTACACTATTCTTCCATTCAGGTTGGTGGTTTGAAATCAGTTTTTCAGCTCCGTACTGAAAGTTCATTCGAACCTTCCCACTTTTGTGGAAATACCCACTTGAAAGCATTTCGAGAAAGTAAGGGAGATCATCCCACCACGTCAGAGCATTTCGGGTGGGGTAATTTAAATGGATCACTCTTACTTTATTAAATGGATTCTTAAAAATGGATGGAATTAGACAAAGCAGTAGTTATCTTTAAAACTAGACAAATAGCTCAATTTTCAACTAGCAAATTTAAAGAAAAAGGGTAACGACTATAGTTGTGACCAAGGTAATTATAATATTCAAAGAGAACAATAGAAATCGACTGAAAACAAAGTAACAGTAGTGAACAACTAATAAAGAATTTGTCAAAATGAAAACAGGATTACCAAAATTATGAAGCAAAGCATTCTATTTAGTGGGATTATTTTACACCACAACGCTTGATCCCAAGAGTTGCTAGTACTTGTTTTTACTCATCACGCATGAGCTTAAATCACCTTTTGAACCGTTATACTAATAATATAGGTAAAATAACCTGAGTAAAACGTTGACTGCGTTTTACCAAACATACAATTGCTTTGTATTCTTTCTTCCATCTGTCCAAAGAATAATAATGAAAAAGTTATTGAAAAATTATGCTGTTTACACAACTTGTACATTCAAACTGATCGGAAGTAAGTTGGCTGTGTGTAGATGAGAAATTTATTTATTTGTGTACAAGTTTGTGTTTTTTAATTCATTTTATACAATTGTTGATAGCACTCATTCTGTTGATTATCCAGTCCCAACTGCAGTTGCTTCACGAATGATAAGTGTGTGTTATTATCTCTAGATATCAGCTAGATTACATTCACTGTCAAATCCATCATAATTACACACTTGCTGCATTCACTTTGCAAGTTCAATGATAAAGTTTTGCATCGTTTTAATGTTAATTACTTAAAGTGTAAGTGTCCTACTGTTCGATTATTCTACACACTTTCAATTCCAGAAAAAGAAGAATACACAAAAATGATTTTGTATTTTATTGCTTTATATGTTGTAGACAGTTTATGCATCTCCCAGTCATAGAAAAATGGATATGAAAGGAAGTTATGAACAAATAGTTTATCCGGATCTATACTTTACAATCGATAATTATGAAGAGGTGAGGTACTTTATTGAATCCTTCTTAAAGTTTTTTCTATTAACTCTAAGTTATGGCTAAAAAGTCACACTACCTGGTTGATTAACCATAGTATGCATTTTCTTTAGCCTTCTTTATCGTATTCAACTCAAAAGAATTTAGTCAATCTTAGGTTGGGATTCATCATCGATTGACATCAGTTGGGGAGACACTGGAAACTTCGGAATCCTGAAGAGCTGTTTCGTCCTGGTATGGGACTCCTCAGCAGTGCGCATCCATGACTCCGCCCCACGAGGGATCGGACCCAGGACCCTCAGGTTCCATGGCCTGCACGTTGCCATTGAGCCACAATTCCTAATTCTGTCAGTTCATGTGGTGGCCGTGAAACATTAAGGTTCTGGGCTCGGTCCGTGGTAGGGTCATAGGTGTGCATGGCTGAGGAGTCCCATACTAGAATGAAACAGCTGTCCAGTGCTCCAGTCTTTCTCCAACTGATTTCAGTCCATGATAAATGCCAACCACAACCTTCAAATTGAATTATCTTGTAAAATTTTGAATTTCTTCTTTTCATGCCGTTTTTCTGCCCCACTTGCACTGCTTTTAATGGCACTAAATTTTCATAGGTTGTTTTTTTGCTCTGAACATGCTAATTTATTTTTCTGACTCAAAGGCATTTCTGCTACATGTAGACTAATGAGCTATACGTCTATGGTTATACTTTCTTCAATTCAGTGGTACATTTCCTATGTTAATGGAAGAATTCCTAGAGAGTCATTTCGTTCATGCATATAACCGTATCAGGTATCTGGTGTAACCATGAGTCTCAACATTCTGTTGCTGAGTCTCTGATAAACAAAAATTTGACTATCAGAACATAACAGAACAGACCTTTCATGTATAGAGGTGTCAAACAACAATCGTTCCAACCAGCACAACTCATTGGGTCGTTACAGCATCCTAGTCCAACCATCACATCAAGGTAGCAGATGTCAGAGGGATGATGATATGTGATTACCTTTCCAGAGACCGAACAAAGGTGTACCTTGCTCGGGCTATGATACGGATTACCATCACAAGCCTAGCCTAGTGTATAAATCCTTATCTGATTTATCTCGTGACCTCGCCTGCTTAACTCGATCACTACTTACCGACCGATCATAAGCCCGGCTAAAGAGGGAAGGTTGGACATAGGGCTAGCAACCCTACCCTAGAAAACCAATCCAACCACTGAAGAAACTTCAAAGCACAAAATAAAACAAACTGATTCCTCGCTGGAATCGGAGAGGCGAAATTACGCCGGTTGGTGAAAGCCTGCCTTCGGGAAGCCAATTGGCTGATGTGATGTCTTCTCTTCTCTCGATGAAAGCAAATATTAACATGGCGACATGGAATGTCCGAACAATGTTTGAAGCTGGCTGGCTGGCTGGCTGGCAAGCTGCCCAGATTGCAAAAGACATGAGGAGGTATAGCATTGAAGTGTTAGGCTAGGAATCTGCGAAAGCAGATGGGATGTGAGTGGACTCTCAAAACTCTTAACTGGGGAGTTAATAATCTACTCAGATATTATCACACAGACGACAACCACGAGCGAGCGAGCACACTAAGATTTCGAGTGGTTGCCATGATATCTCAAATAGCATCGAAGGCTCTCTCTCTCATGCAGTGGAAACCAATCTCCTCATGCAGGATCAGCATCATGACACCAAGATGGATTGAACTCAAAAGGAAGGAAAGTCGCAATCATACACTGCTACGCTACACTGTGCATCTACAAGTAATACAGATCAAGAGAAGGAGGAGGAATTCTACAGACAACTGCAATCAGTACTGGACAAGACCACTAACCAGTTGGCGACATCAAAATCCATTTTAATGAGTGACATGTTTTAATGCCAAACTGAGAGTGGACAACACAGGAAGAGAACTCATCATGTGTGGAGAGGCACTCGGTGAAATGAAGGAGAGTGGAGAACTGTTTGCAGACTTCTGTGCATTCAACGATTTGGTGACAGGAGGCACTGTAGACAAACACAAGGATATTCACAAGGCAGCGACATGGATTTGATTTCACCAGACACCAGGACACACTACACTAAAAATCAGATCGACTTCATCTCAATGTGAAGAAAGTGGAGACGCAGCCTACTGGACACAAGGCAACATCCCCGAGAGACCTGCGTGGGAGAACACTGGAACTGTGTGAAAGAGACGTGGAAGGAAACCTGCATAACCGTGTTAGGAGGGGAGAAGAAGTGAGGCGAGATAAGGAATGGATCTCCACTGACACATGGAATCTGATACACAGTAGGGAGAGGAAGATGGTGATGGTGAAGCAGAAGATGAACCAGTGCAGTGCATGCATGAACAACGTAAAGAGGAACTGAACACAACCTATAAAACACTACACTGGACAAAGAAGTGAAGAAGAGTGCGCGGAAAGACAAGAGACACTTCTACGACACATTGGCAAGTGAAGCTGCTGGTAGGCTGCTGCTAGGAGAGACAAAGACCTGACAACATTGTATCAAATGACCAGGTCACTCACTATGTGGTAGGGAAGAGATCAACTCAGATGAAACCAATGAGAGATAGTGAAGGAAAGCTAGTCACGAAAGAGGAGAAATAAATGAGACAATGGGCTGACCACTTCAGAAGACTCTTGAATCAACCACCACCATCACCACCACCACTACCTGCAAGTTGTCCAGAAATACCACCGGCAACTGCAGAACTGCCAGTGAACACAAGTCCTCCAACAAAAGTCGAAGTCCTGAACGCCATAAAGTCGATGAAATGCAGGAAAGCAGCAGGACCAGATGGAATTCCACCACAAGCACTGAAAACAGACTCAGAGACAACAGCGGCGGACATGCTCACACCACACCACTACTGAACGAGGTTTGTAAGGAAGGAAGGAAGGAAGGCAAGGTACCTGGCCATGGATTGAAGAAGGACTACCTTGTCAAACTCTAAAGAGGGGTGGCCCAAGTCTTTGCAAGAACTGGTGCCGAATCATGTTCCATCCCTGTCCACTCAAAGCAAGCAAAATATTAAACCACATCATCCTGGAGTGACTAAAAATGCTCTGGGTTCAAAATTACGACTGGAACAGGCTAGCTGGCTGGCTGGCTTCAGGAAGGACAAATCATGTTTGGACCAGATTGAAACACTACGCAACGATACGCATCATCACAGAACAGAGCATAGAATGACAGTCGACTAAATCTTCACCTCATCTTCATCGATTTTGAAAAGGCCTTCGACAGCGTCGACCGAGAGGCGATTTGACAGGGAGGTGCTTCAGCACTACGGTCTTAGTGTCACAAGCCTTTATCAACCTCATGATGATGCTACATGCCGAGTGATTCACAATGGAAAGCTCACTGAGGCCTTTGAAGTGAAGACAGGGGGACAGGAGTAGGATAAGGCTCCCGTCTACTATCACAGATCATCTTCCTGATTGTGGTCGACTGGGTTATGCAACAAACTGTGAGATGGGCATACGCTGGCTGGACCGATGAAAAGACTCCAGAGGATTCGGATTTCACCGATTATGATTTGTCTGTGCTGTCTTGTGGCACAAACTCGAAGATCTACAGACTAAAACCAACAAGTTGACAGAAAAGTCAGCGGGGACGGAACTGTTGGGGACAGCATGATAGCCACTCGAAAACTGAGTGTGCTCGTGGTTTTATCTGGGTGACAGTATCAGAGCAGATTATTAACTCCCCAGTTAAGAGTTTGGAGAGCCCACTTCCATTCCATCTGCTTTCGCAGATTCCTAGCCTAACACTTCAATGCTATACCTCCTTATATCTTTTGCAATCTGGGCAGCGTTGCCAGCCAGCCAGTCAGCCAGCTTCAAACATTGTTCGGACATTCCATGTCGCCATGTTAATATTTGCTTCCATCGAGCGAAGAGAAGACATCACATCAGCCAATTGGCTTCCCGAAGGCAGGCTTTCACCAACCGGCGTAATTTCGCCTCTCCGATTCCAGCGGGAATCAGTTTGTTTTTATTTTGTGCTTTGAAGTTTCTTCAGTGGTTGGATTGGTTTTCTAGGGTAGGGTTGCTAGCCCTATGTCGAGTCTTCCTTCTTCATCCGGACTTAGTACCGGCTAATAACTAGTCAGCTAGTTAGCTAAGTGGGGTCGGAATTACTATATTGCCTAAGTCTTTTTTTGTGGTATACGTGAATCGATGTTAAGTATTCATACACGATGTTTGTATAAATGGTAACAAAATTTTTATTGGTTACCTGAATTCCATCACTTATAAGTAGTGCGAAGAGAAATTGGTATTGTTAACTTTCCAGGTTATTGAAGGAAACTAATTCCACTTAAGCACCATAAAATGTGCCACAGTATCATACTGTAGAAGGAGATTTCACTCTTGGCCGACCGTCATGATTAATCTTTTTGTTGAATTGATAAAACCATATGCTTTATTTTGAAAAATGTTTTTGTATAAAGAATATTTGAATATGAAAGCACTAGGAAAATGTGAAATTTAGTTTAATCCCTGTTCCTTGACTCATTCATTCTCATCAGGTGATTTACCTTGACGAAAGATGGAGTTATGGTTTTTTCATGTAGGCATTTGAATCTCACTCAGTAGGTTACGGATTCTTTTTGACGGAATCGTTTGCTTAGCTGTATATTCGTGAATATATAGTTAAAAAGATGGAACATTCCAGAGTAATTTCCAGTCAAAAGTCAATATAAATTGCATCAAAACGGAGGGTTGCGTAATGGGGAAATAAACAAGGTGATTACAAAAGAGAAAACAGTTATGTAACGTAGGATTTATCTAGAGTGATCGATACTCTAGGATGACCATGGCAAAGAAAGAGGTCGCACGCACTTCTTTTAAATGCATGACGATGGTTTGGACTTTTGAATCCCTAATGCTTCATCTATGCCTTACTCCTTCCGACTGGCCTGGTCGCACTTCGTAAGAAATTTTGAAGGACTTATTAAAAGGAGCCAAATGCCCTATTTTACTATATGTTTTGTTACAGAGCTGAAGATGCATTTCCATTCTGCACTTGTCAGCCAAGATGGAGAGTGTTCGCGAGTGCGTTGCATAAGCTGGCACACTGTACGGCCGATGTACTCGGCTCTACTCGGCAGGGCCTACTGCCGATTGCCTCCAACCAACTAACATCTACTAATGTGCATCGCGATGCTGAGCTTCCTAGCTTGGTTGCCACATAGCAAATATGATCGATAGGATTCGGTCTGCACTCAGGATTAGACAACATGGAATTGGTTGCACTCCCGTGACCAATCAATACATAGTGTGTACATTGTTGTGGTCCAGTGCTGAAGCGTATGCTTTGAGTACTGACAAATGAGTTTCTGACAGGAGAATATGATTCTAAGATTGGTGACAAAGAATATTCTGTTTATGGATCTTGATAGTCTCTTTGACTGGAATTTACTCTGGAGTATTCTATCCTTTTTACTATGTATTCACGAATGTACAGCTAGGAGAATGAGTTAATCGAAAAGAAAAAAATTTCTTCGCCGCGATCGCCTTCTACGTTTTACCAATTGAATAGCCAACAAAAAGGTGGAAAAACACTAACATATAGATATTTCCAACCAAAACATTTTCAAACCACCTTTCCAAGATGCTTAGTGTGTAATTGGAAAAAAACAATCGAAATCCATGCCATGCAGTAGACAGTGAATCACATTTCTACCTATTTTGTGAGCACTAATGACGCTACCTGACTGCCCACATCTCCGGAGGCGGAGCTGGATTCGAACTCGTGATCCATCATTGTCTAGACCAGTGAGCCTTAGCTCCAAAGGTGTATCAGTAATTTTACCGTTTGATTAGTTAGTAGTAATTTTCGTATACTTTTGAAGATTCTAGACATTGTTAAGGAAGATATTTATTGATTACTTGGTGAAAGTGGGACAGATTAACACAAAAAGTGTCGTTGTATAACCTTAGGTCTTCTATCCTTTTCAGGGTTAGAATTGTTGAATTGGTTGGGTCCTGACTGCCGTCAACATGAAATTTACTGAAAGCTAAAATAAACTTATTAGAACTAGTTAGTCTGCGTCTCGTGACGTATTTTCAGTTCAGAAGTCAAATCTGCTAACCAAACAAAGAAACTGCGGTGGGTTCAACAATATCCAAAACGATTACTACAGTAGTGATGCTAAGATTAAAATTAGTAGTCATTCCCATAATGAAACTCATGGTTTCGATTCATTATGACGACGGCATCTTTGTACTCACAAAACAACTGAATTGAGAAACGTGTTCGGTTTTATCAATTAAACCTTTAAAGGTATACAATTTACAAAAGAAGATGAAGAAAAAAACGAAATCGTATTTCTAGACATTTTTATCTGAAGATCACATGACAGAACATTACAAACTCAACTGTACAGAAAGATGATGCACACAGATCAACTTTAGGACTGTAATAGTAACAAGCCAATGTCTAATAATAAGTTGTGTATAAACACTATTTACACATGCCAAGACTCACCACAAAACTCAACAACCTTGAAAGTCACAGTTTGTTTTCCTTTACTTTTTTCTTACATTAATTTCAACTTTTTTGTGTAAATCAATCTTAAAAACTGTATTTTATCGCACTTGTGTTTTGATTAGTTAACATTTCATATGAAATACTTTTTTGCTGACGTTTTTACAGGCATTTTCTGAATGTGTTCTTCGTGATAGTGAATGCCTCAATGTTGAATTGACTGCTTATGATCGTTCTGGACAAGCATTTGGTGTTTGCTTTCTAGGCACCATTTCTTATAGTACATTAAAACAGTTTTACGACTCATCTGTAAGTTATTATATTATTTATTCTTTTTGTTTATCTTTTTTTTTCTAATACATCAACAAGTTCCGATGAGGCTTAAGAATTCAGAGCATATTTGACAATTAGCTTTTTTTTTAAGCCACAAATATGCTTTTCTATTGTTGTATATATTAACTTTTATTGTGGAAACGTTTTATGCAAATGTAGTTTTTTTATTCTTTATGCAGGCCCGCTGATCGTCATTTGTAGTATGACATTAAAGCATTTGCCAACCAAAACTTTTACTCGAGCAAAAAAAACTTTAGACAGCCGCATTCTAAGTCACAAATATCTGTCATAATCTCATATTACCGGTTCATATGAAGTGAAGTGAACTTATATATTGAATAAGCTATTTCAAATTTGCTTGTGAGACAGTGATATATATATATATATATATATATATATATATATATATATATATATATATATATATATATATATGGTAGGAATCTGAGATACTGTGAAAATAAAAGGTTGGCGACTACAGTTGATATGCCTGAAAATCAGTTGCAGTCTTCATGTTCGTTTCGCTTTGTTTTCTACCTTTTTAATAGGGTAGATATTCATTTCTTTGACTTTTTCGCTGTTGAATTCGGCCTCGACCTACTAATTTAAGGTATGCAACTTAGATTAGTATGCTGAGTCCTGTTTTGCTTATCTATGTACAACGAAATCGCATCGGCTACAAAATGCGCTAAAGAAATTAGCCTGGCCTTAGAAACCCTTATTTTTTTCTGAATTTACATTTTTAGCGTATTTTCATACACTATGACCAGTGTGTCGTTTTCGCAGGTTTTTAGGTTATTCCATTATCGGTCGACCTTACTTTTCATTTATAATTGGTTTTAACTTTGAACAGGAGCATAATTCCTGTATGTAGCATTTTGCGTTTACAGAGACATTAAAAACTGTGTATTCCGACGAGTCTTTTTTTTCCGGTTTGCGTTTGTCGGGGTAAGTTTAGTTAGTTGTTATCGGAAATGAAGTGAGGTGCTAGGATCACAACATATATTCGATTAGATTGTAGCATGCCTAGGTAAGCACTGTGGCAAACAGATTAATTTAATTCTTTTATTCATAATAATTGCGACTATAAAATGGTTCTAAAGTTTGAGTCGATATTTGTCGAGTGCAGTGTGTTATAGCAGCAAATAAAGTGATGAGCCTTGGTAGCTCATATTTGAACTTGATGACTACAAAATACATAATGTCGATACCGTCACGTGACTATGACTTTCTGCCCCCATCACTGTCTTAGGATCGCTGCGCTTGTCTACTCTTTATCCGTACTTACGAGCCACCCACTAAATTAAACGCAATACGAGTTGTTTGCATTTCTGTAACTCTTGGTTTTTCTCCCCTTGACACTACATAATAAGTAATAATGACTAACAACTTAGTTTTGGTGGTTTGGAGTGGTGTTCTCTGAGTTGAATGGTTTATTCGTAAAGTTTTCATCGTCATTCTAGAAATCATCCACACAAACTTCAGAAAGATGTGTGCCATGAAAATTCATCAACAAAAGGATTAGTAGCTTGTGAAGAAACTTTTATAACTCACTTCTCTCTAAATCTTGTGCTGATTACGTCTAGAATGATGATCAAAGCTTAGCGACTAAACAGCCCAGCTGGAATAACACAATGCCGTTAAAATCATACTCGTAAGCTACTAACATTCTCCATCAACCCAACTAACGGCTTCCTATCCTTATGTTCTGTTCGATCTGGTTCATGCGTACATACAACTGAATTACATGATCACAACTCACCGCAATTCATAAAAATGAAATAAATAATTTTTACACAAATTGGAATAATGCAGAATAATTGGCTTCACTAAAGATGCAATTATTTCGCAACCATGAATAGTACGGAAGGGAATGAGGATTCAACCCAAAAGCTGTGAAGTTGAGCTCTACTACTATGGGATAAGTCCTGAGCAAAGTGTCTTTTAAAATAAATAATATAATACGACCAGTAACGCTTATTTGGGACTCATTTTTGGGGTCTGTTATACCTCATGGTGTACGGATGAAGACCCTATGTTTTCACGCATATAAGGTACTGGTGTCACATGAATGAATTCAACAATTTGGCTTTAAACAGCCTAATATCATGTCTAGGTGGGTAAATGTGTTGGAAAACATCATCGATCCGTCAACAATCGACCTGAAAGTGTCAGAATATGAATTATTTTCAAGAACATTTGGACAATCGTCGAACTTCCACGAAATTCGAATTCCAACTGGACAGAGCTGTACGGTAACTGGTTACTTCGCAACGTTATCCAGCAAAACTTATATATAAACATGAATTTTCTCTTTATATATCATCAGTTCAAAACAAGAATAAGTCCGTTCACAGTTTCTTCGTTTCGTCCCATTTTTACTTCCTAGTTAATTGATTAGGCTGGGAATCGGATTAAAATGTCAGGGTTTTGGTTTTGAGCAACTGTCTGAGTGTTCACTATCACTCTCTTCAGTTCGATTCATATGAGTTTGTTACAATCTGTGGATCCAGTAGTAATCGTGTTGTTGATGCGCTTTATCGTACTACTTGTTTATCGTCTGGATAGTTTTTGCTCTTAATAACTATATTCAGTATTATTGTAAGTAATTATTTATTTTGGATTCGATGATCTCAGGAACCTTTAGTTCAACAGACAGATCTCAGTGTAAAGATATAACAAACGTATGTGAAAAATGAAATAAGTTACTGCAGTTACTTGCTTGGGACTCTGCCAACTTGATTACGAGACCCTAGCTGCCAGCTAACCAAGTCTCAGTTTTACTCTAATCACTAACAGAATATCACATGAGTTTCTAAGTCCTTCGCATTACTTTTTTTCCACATAAAATACACTTGTTTAGCAAACACTTCAATCGAGTCGTCATTGTTCTGGTCAACGAAATAATCGAATGACAAAAAGCTCTTATTCATGCTCATCTTCAATTCATAATAACAACTGTCCATCCATTCAGTTCATGCGAGTCATTGGACCACAGGCTAAAGGATTAGCTGAGATAGCAATTAAACCAATGGAAAGTGATTACATCATAGAACAAGAACGACAATCATTGGATTTATCAAAAGCAGACTATGCGAATAGTTCCGATTTCATTATTAAATGCTGTCAACCTGTTTGTCCATCTGAAATAGAAATCGAGTACAATTCTCCTGATAATTATGTATTGAACGATATGAATATGAAAAATAAGACAAAACATTCCAAAGTGATCACTCAGCAACCAATTACAGTGAGAATTTTATATATATATATATATATATATATATATATATATACCATTATGTTTGTGTTTGGTTTTTCATATTTCTGATTATTAATCTAGATTATTAATCTAGAATTACAACCAGTAGGGTCATTCACCCTATTAAAATTTGAGCAGGATCACAGTCTGTATTCACTGCTTAATGCATGTATTTAACTGTTGAGTTGCGCTGAATATTGCTATTAATTTATAACGATCTGTTTGATAGATACCCTTTGTTCCTATTGCATGAATTGCTTCTATTACATTTTAGGGTATTTCACGTATTTAGTTACAATAATAATAAAACAAGTCAGTAATCGCATACAGGTTTCCGCACTAGGATATAAGGCAAATTTACTGAACGATGGCCTGACTTATTACCTGGTTAGTGGAGCAATGTTTAAGCCAATATACCGCTTGTTGAAGGTCGACAATTCACCCAATGAGTCTTAGTTCAAAATTCACCGAAATCTCGGTTTGTGTAAGACGACTTTGGGCGATCCGTGCTCCTTTTAAGACTTCATATGGATTGCCCTACTCTCTGGAGGTCATCTGGTTGACTTGGAGTATGCAGATGACATTGCCCTGACAGGTGAAGACGCTAACGCAACGCAGGGTCTTCTGCATACGTTGGACAGAAATCTGGGTATGTTTTACTTGGATGCATTTCGTTATCACCTGTCAAATGGTATGCTGCCAGTTTAATGATACGGAGTGAAGTGGTGGAATGTGTCGACCACTTCACTTGGAGAGTTGCATCAGCCCGAACGAGCTGGTTGTTGACGAAATCTCAGCCTGGATAGAGAAGGGCCGTTTGGCATTTGCCAGCATGCGCCACCTGTTGTGCCGACTGGCGAGATATCCGACCATCTATCAAGAGATGACTATACTCCACTGCAATCCGTTCTGTCCTGTTATACAACTGTGAAATATGGTCGTTAAAAGTAGAAGGCATGACGCAATTACAAAGTTTCAGTCACAGTTGTCATCCTTTTAAGACTAAGCATGTATCACTCACTTCTGAAGTCAAAGACTTTACCTTCAGACTACGACTAAATTCTTTAAAACTGAACTATGTACACCAACTGCTTACCAGGCGGCAACTGATTAATTTTCCCAAGATCATAGTGTCAATCGAAACCAGTTTTATGTGGAAAAGTATGTTCAAATACTCAAATACTAGATATATATGGAAAAAATTGTTTCAGCGAATATTGGATATTTTGACAATTTTTAACGAGAACTTTATTTCATAGAACGGTTATATCTGGGAAACGTTTGGACTTTTTTCCGGTGCAGAAAAAATTGAGTACTAAAATAAGTAATTTTTTACCAAACTGTTGAAAATCACATCACAGTTTGTACAAAAAAGCTATTTTAAGAGAAGGCAAAAACGTCTAACTGTACAAACTACTTCGAAAAAAGTATTTATCCAACTATTTCGCAACTTCATTTAACCAGAAGGAGCTGTGGCACTATGTTTGCAAAATATTCCGGCAATAACGAGCAGACTATGAGTAAGGATGCCTTAAAAGTCACGAAAATTTTTAAAGTATGATGTAGTCCAGAATCAAGAAAAAATGTATAAAACCAACTGTACGGACTGCAGCAATCATTGTATCCGACACTTAGTTCACTATATCACTCCTCCCACTTACGGATATCAGATGACAGTGAGGTTTCATAATACGAACTAACTTATTTCAATGCAAGGCGATAAATGTAGTCACAGCTTCGACTGGAGAGATTACCTTGAAGAGTGCAAGGAGAACATTGGAGGCATAATACATAAATAGTTAAGAAATCGATAGGTATGTAGATCAGTACGTTACTTGTGAAAAAATTAAGAATAAGGTCGCCAACTGGACCATTCGAAAATGTCCCCTAAATAACACTGGATATTTCTAGGACTATACAAAATCACCAAATAGCTAACAATCAAGAGAGATCCTAAAAATAAACAGCGTAACCCTTAAGATTGTCATCCCAAACAAAAGAAAGAACGTAATTCTTACTACTCTGAAAAAAGCATATCGAATAGAGGTTGCTCTAGTAATTTTATCATAATAAACGGAACTGATTGAGGTGCTAACTGTAAAAATCAAAAAAGTAAAAACTCATCAAACAGCGAAGACCAGAAGCAGAAGTCATATGAACTAAACTATCCCCACTTTTTAAATAAGAGTAGCCTGAATTTAAATGTATCAAACTACTTTGTACAGCACACAATGACTCACCTATTGTGTAAGGACTAATTATACTCCTTTACCACTCAAACCTCGGTAGATGGAACGAAGCTTAAACCCATGGTCTGTCGATTGGAAATCAACTGCCTAAGCGATGGGTCACGGCTTGTGCGAGTGATTCAGTCCTATTAACTTCATTGACCTTTTTCGTAAATTTTCACATAAATAGTTAGACAAGTCCATGTGTGATCAGATTGTTCGAGATGTATAGCGCTAATACATCACATGTTTCAGATAATCTTCGTCTTCTCATTACACTGTTTAAATTTATCAAAGGGACCAGTTGCTTTAGCTGAGGTTGTTGATTATTTGTTCAGGCGGCTACCTCTACAATAATGAATCAGGGGTTCGAAGCTATCTTTATCTAACAGGGTTCGCGCTACTAGGTATTATCGTAACCCCTCAGACAATAGATGTGTCTAATTTACGAGTTTGCATGTGAAAGCTTAATTACAACTCGACAGCATAGATCCGGAATGGACCGTTAATTGTCAATACAACGATAAAATACTGAAGAATCCAGGTCTGTTATAACAGACCTATCAAAGAGAATGCGAATTGAATATCCTCTTTCTAATTCATTTTAGGAGATATTAATATGACAAATAAACATGGAAATGTGCCGAGTTCAATTACTACATATAATGAGGTCGAAAACTGCCCAGGAAAATTTGAGCTCAAATAGCAACAAAACTTCTAGAATAATAAGCATGGTTGAAGTGGCTGACAAATTAATAAGAGAACGCTACTAACGCAATAAGATACCTGCACTGGATAAGACTAGCGACTGTTCTCCCTCAGACCTGATACTTCGCTGAGCAGCGAAAATCAGAAGACAAAGACCGGCCAGTGATTGTAAGCAAGACATATTATTTGACAAAAAATATAATCTATGCACAGTTTTTCCTCAGAAAATAAAGCCACTAAGTCGTACGTTGGATACTTATTTTTATTGGTCAGCTGTAGGATAAAGCTGTCAAATGAGCTTTTCTTGTCCATACAGTAACAAGAGACAAGGTTGAGATCCGAAACTTCTACCTTAGCGACTGATAACTTAGAATGGTGATTTCGATTTAGGCCACTTCCTATCAATGATAGACTCAGTGTCCGAGTTAGATGCTTGTGTCTTGTTTCTGATTTATTCAGTCACATTGAGATTGAAATGATAGGTTTCAACTGTATTAAATTCAATCTCGTATTGTCGGCGAAATTCCTACTTTAAAATCATTTCTAAGCAAGAGATCAACCTACTGTATGTTTCATTCCTTTTGCTTTCGTTAGTCTTTTACTAATGTCATTTCCAATTATGTCACGCATTTCTAAAGTTGCTTTCTTAAAATTCCACTTACGTCAATTATTAACTTCAAGATATTTTATTTTCTGAAAATATTTTTGGCTCAGGAATCTTGCAAATCAGCCAGTCTCCTCAACTTTTATGAATCCTTATTAGGAATCAATCCAAAGAGTGATGAACCTGCACACCTTCAAAACACATATATAAATCCTATACCAACACTGTATCCATCTCCTTGGTCTGTAAAATCTGCTGGAGCAAGTGTTCATACCAGTCCTGTTCGTTGGTCTAAACGCAAAGTAGGCAGTAAATGTTCAACCCAGCCGGTTAGTCAACAAGAATTGTCACCAACGTTAAATCGCAGACTTCAATTCAAGTCTACAAACGCCATAAATTTACTCAATGAATCAAAACCTTCAAGGGTATCAGAAATTCTAAATGCATTTACAGGTACAGTGAAGAAACAATCTTCAGATATTCATCCAACAAAATCTCTTCAAATCAACGTAGATAATCCTACTGGTAAACGTAGCTCTATGAACAATACTAAAGCCGTTTTATTTCCAATGAAGAAAGATGATAATGAATCCGCAGATAGATTGAAAAGTCTCAGTATTCATGAAGGTATGATAAACGGATTTTTAAGTAGATTTCCTATTTAAATTATTTAGTCAAATTAGTATACGATAAAACTCCTTTTGTTATTCTACTACTGACTTTCAAAGAAAACAATTTCATGGACTATATGCCCCAGTAGTAGTTTATTTTTGAAATAGAAGTCCAGTCATTATTGCAAACCACACAACTTCACGAGAACATTAATAAGTCGCATCGTATACAAAGTAAGGCCACTGAGACCAACTGAATTTAAAATATTGACGGGCAAGCAATAAGAAACTCTAAATCAAAGTGTTGGTCCTGATAAACATTTTTCTTTAAAATTTATCTACAATATCTCACTCACACTCAAGCTCTTGACTTAACAGCTGGAAATATCAATGATGTATATCGCAACTGATCGTCTCCAAAATACGTTATATTCACGAGTCTGTCTTTCACTTGTATTTACCAAGACAATACGCTAGGTTTAGTACAACTGACCGATTACAGTCCACAGAAGTGTTGCATCATATAGCTATAATGGAAGTGTAGACTTACGCAAACGTTTTTATAGTTAAATAAAACTTCGAATTTAGCAAGTAGATCGAATTTTCAACGATCCCATCGGTTTCATCACTAATCATACTAATTGTTTACATTGCGCATACTATGAAAGTAGATTTTTGAATGTTAGGATGGTGAAACTAAGTATATAAATCCGCATAACTTAAATGTGTGTAGTCAGTAAGTGTCAGTGTTGGGACTTAACGTTACTGTCCAGGGGTTCATGTTGTCATCTCATATCAGCAGCACATCAAAGAAGGTATCAAGGTGAAAGATGTGGAAATAAGGAACAAAGTAATCAAAGTGGTAGAATGATGTGAAGAGAGAATAAAATGGTACGAAACAATACTGAAGTTAGGCATGATGCCTGAAATGAAGATAATAAGTGGATGCATCTGCGCCACTGACATCGATTCTAAGCCATATTACCCAGTCTCCAATCGCAAAGTCTACATTTCCCATACGACTCAAACCAGCTGTCGAAGACGGGGCATCAACGCAGGCCAGTCCTGAAGCAACCATTTGCATTTGGGTGGTGACAAACGCGCCTCAAATTGCCAGTCAAGGTTTCTAGAAGACCCTACATCTTGTCAGAATCTTTGCCTAACAGGACTATGTCATCTGCCTATCCTAGATCTACCAAGGAGTTTCATGTTTTAAAATCTATCTCTGTGAGACCAGACAACGAGATGGAGATCTGCGTTAGTACACCTATGACAAAGTTAAATCTCAAAGTCTCAGCAAGCGTGTGCGTGTTCATTCACTAGGCAATGAGTCACACCTATTATTTGAGACCTGGTGATACTATCTCGGTGTGCAAACTTGGGTAGGTGGAACTGGGTTTGAAGCCATGACCTATTGGCTGGAAATCACCTACCCATATTTTTACTATAATGAACCAAGTAGCTAAATCTCTTGACTGCTTTTTTTAGGTGAAAGCTATACTACCTCAATATCTTAAACACCAAACATATACATTGATACCCTTGTTTGATGTTTACTACATATGAAAGAACTGGAAAACCGTGATTTGTTGTCGAAATCACAGTTTTACGTAACCAGAATTAACTATTCAACATGACTGTCAAGTATAATTATTTTAATGTCATGGACAAGTGAACATCTCGAGTCACATCGTTCATCAAGTTATAAAACAATGGCTTGGTAGGACATTATGGAAATCAAATACATGAAAATCATAAGTGATGTTCATTGTTATACCATCAGGATATGATCTTCCAAGTGCATGTTTACTGCTTAAACTGATAAGCCATAGCTTCATATAATACTGTATCACTGTGTGCTACATAAAGTAAACAAATCCAACATAGGATTCCATCCTACCTCAGTGTCCAACATTTGCATTTAGAAAACTTCGACAATATTTTGGCACTCATAATTTTCGATTCGTTTGGCGTTCTTCAGTTTTGTTTTTAGTTTAACCACTTAAGTAGTGCTTTTAGGGTGGTATTCATCATGGACTGACATCAGTTGGGGAAACGTTGGAAACCTGGGGGCACTGGAAAGCTAATTCGTTCTAGTTCGGGACTCTTCATTAGTGCGCACCCATGACCTCACCAGGGATCGAACCCAGGTTCTTTGGTCAGCACATTACCATTAAGCCCCTGGGTTGGTCCATATTTCCTACTAACGTGATGCAGCTGTTTAACCTTCTTTTCAAACTTACAAAGGATATGCTCCATAACCTTGTATATAAAAGTAGCTACTACACTATTGGACTGGAACACAAAAGCTGTACGTGTTTTATTGTTAGGGTGAGGCTTATTGATATAATTCAAATTCTGCTGGTTTTTTGAGGTGACACCCTGCTTTTCTCTCTTTTTAGATGCATGTACAGATCACTTGTACGAAAATCCTTTTCTATCAACTGATCGGGGCAGCAGTTCGTTTGGACAGGCCTGGTCTTGGTTTAAGGAAAAAAGAAGAGCTATTTCAATCGCCTTGAATGCCAGTCCAACATTTATTACTCTTCCTTGTCAAAGCGTCCTTGTTGGTAATGTTGTTGGTGTTGTCATATTTCTCAAAATACTTTTATCACTGATTGAGTTGAGTGACCGTTGAAAACCAAAGGGCAGTTAGTTTGGACACTTAAGTTGTCGGGAAAAAACAAATGCTCCTGAAAATGCGAGCAGAATGAGTGTTCCTCCACTAGTTTTCACTATAAAAGGTTGCTTCTTCTGCTTAGGCATCTGAAAAAGGTGAGGATGTTAGAATGTATATATATATAAGTCGGGAGCGGTTGGATTTCTACTAGAATAGTCGGAGCAGTCAACGTTCCCCACTCTTCATACTATGGGAGGTTACTTTTTGACGTAACTGGAAAAGGGATCAGCGCTGAGTTTTATCTACCTAAAAAAGTAACTTATCCTTGATACTAAGACTATAAGACACGGGTTATTACACTCAAGGCCAAATTTTTCTAATGCATTCTTTCGACAGTGGGAAGGCAGAGTCATGTAGGATGCTAATTGTTCCCAAGAAATGCCTTATTACTGCTGTACTTCGTTAAAATTAGCAATACAACTTTCCCTGTTATTAGCTCTCCAACAAACCGATTTGGTAGAATGAACTTCAATGAGTTAACATTTTGAGCAATAAGGTCGACTCATTTATTACGATGGACAAACCTGGTCATGATACGATAAAAGCATCTGTTGAAACTTTTCAAAATAAAAGTTAGTGACACAACGCACCCTGTTAGTTTGGTCAACTATAATTTGTTTCACCTGCTTCCACTTAAGCACTTGACCTGCAGTTGGACAGTGGGTTCCGGATATCAGTCGATACAGGTATATAATCTCATCGACCTTTTTTACGCGAAACTTACCGTTTTGTCTGTCTTTCAGTCATCACCACTATCACAAACCAGAAGTGATCAGGAAAAATCAGAACAAACGCATGTAGTGTTGTTATTTGTCCTCAGTTACGTGATCCTACAGTAGAATGCAGCCTACCGTTGCATGCTTATACTCAAGCATGAATAGATATCCATTTACTTCGATTTTAAGCATTTAAAGATTCTCATAACAGTAATTAAAAACTATCTGGACGAAGTATATTCTTTCCATTAAATTATCATTAGGTTCTACAATTGTAAAATACAACTGTGCGGCGTAAAAACAAGTTTGAGGTTAATATATATATATATTTTCAAAATGAAATGAGAGTTAGGGACTGTGAGGACATCGACCTCTCTCTTTAAGTGTGTCAATATCACAATAACATATAAGCAAGTGAAGAATGTAATGGTAAGAAAGAAAACAGATTAGGAATACGGGAGTGCCCTATAGTTTATCGAAGGCCAAGTGAGGAATAACGTTTGAACATGTCCCACTTGAATACAAAAAATTCAGTTTTGATCAATCTCATATCTAGAGCTTCAACTATATTAAGCAGGCGTTGGCAAGCCACAAATGCTACTGTTCTTGTTACATAGGGCATCACATAGATGTTAATCCAACTTTTAATGTCATACATCGTGCAATACTGTGTCGTTTGCCAACACCTGATTAAAATAGCTGAAGCTTTAGTTATAATATCGACAAAAACTGAACTTAGCAATCAAAAAGGACATATTCGAGCATTATTTCTCCCTTGGTCATCAATAAACTAAAGGTCACTCCCATATTTCTCATGTTTTCTTTCCTTTCACCATCACATCCTCCACTAGTCTATATGTCATCGTTATACCAACACATAAAAAAGGAAAGTCGACTTATTTATTGTCCCTAACGTATTGTAGTCATGTATTCGCCTCAAACTTGACATTTTTATTGAAAAGAATATACCTCGATGTTCCAGCTTGTGGTCTCTCGTCTATTGGACCGAATCAGTCGGCATATGGGATTCTGTGCAGATGCCTCAATACTGATGGATAGGGTTTAGCTGTGAAATTCAGTGAAAGACAGGTGCATTCAACTCACGGATCGCAAATGTGAGGAAACGCACTTCCCATTTACGCCATCAAGACATCATTTTACACAATATTTTAAGGACCGCCTCGGAGACTGTTTATTATGTTAGAAACTTGACAGGAAGACACCAAATAAACGCTGAATCCGCAAGTTCATTGTGCAAGACACACTTTTAACGTTAAGGACTCGTACTTTTGATGTGCATTTTTGTTACCGTGCGTCTAAGTCGCCACTAATCATGAATCAAAAAATCGAAATGCACTCAGCAATCACTCGCTCATTCATTCACTACTAGGCAATGAGGCATAGGCTCCACCAGTGCTCATGACCTCTATGTCAAACCGGATACCCTGTGGTCCACATCTGCAGTAACAACATCTAAACCAGCAATCTACTGAACTAACTTTGACGAATTCCTGCTGTATTCATTTAACTGGTATTTACTAGTATAAAACCATTTTTCAGCTTGTTAAACTTACTGGTCTAAAAAGTTTTTATGAACTTAAAAAATCGCATTTCCAGATACCTGAAATAACCACAGTGTTATATATCAACATAGTAAATACTCAGCATAATGTACATTACTTGTTGTATATGTCATAAGGATTTCTTTACATTACAAACGAACGATCTAAGGAAGTACCAGAAGGAACCATTCAAAGCGAATATGTTATAATGGCTCTAGCAACTTACTTCGATATAATAGCTGGCTTCTTGTTCAATGTAACTTTCATATAAGCACACTTTTATTAACTCATATTTTGACTTTAGATTTACTGGAAGTCAGAAGAGAGCCTATTCTCAACTTCAGTAATCGGTGATTTCTGCCACTAATGCGATGAAGAAACAAACTTAAAAACTCGAGCAAGTAGATGCCTCTACGGAAGCCAAGCTTTCAGCGTTTTCCAAACACTATTTTACTTTTATTAGCATCATTTATTTTTTTAATATCACTTTCCCTTGTTTAAAATGTTTATTTTAATCTCTCTGACCTCAATTTCTCTACCTGGTCTGTGCATAATAGTTATTTCGAGCTTTTGCAAGTTTTACATCATATCTTTGTTATTTTAATTTGTTTTGGCGGCAGTAACTTTTTGGGTAAACGCGATGAGACCGTCTTGAATTCAGTAAAGTTGACACAGCCAGCCAGCTTAATATTAAACAGCGTAGAAGAATGAACGGTACAGTGACTGCTTTTAAATTTCATCCAATTAGTTACCGAGTTTTGTCGGATCAGACATAATAGTCAAGTTAGATTATGCAATCGCTGATCGAAATGAATAATCATTAGAAAATAAATACAAATAACGCATTGATCACTAGTGATACTGTGTACCAAGTTACTATATCGGAATGCCCATACTTGGCAAAGGTATGAAATCATTTTGATGAGGTTGTAACAGTAAACAGACGACTTATGCTGGCTGCAGCGGTTGTTCCTTACTTACCCACTAGCCGCAGTGAGGGTGAGGTGGTGAAACATGACTGTTGCCAGAAACTGTCTAACCTTCAAATAGGGTCGTCCTAGCGGGGGACTTAAGTGTACGTACAGGAAGGCTAAGGCAGACACAAATGCACTCATGTGATACTTCCGGAATCTCCGATGAGGGGACAGCGGTGACTGCCTGCTACAAATGTGATCTGAAAGCCACCAGTTTTTAGCGAGCACGAATTTCAAATATGAGATGTTATCTGAAGGCAGATGATAACAACGATGGACAGAACACATAGAGTAACAGCTAAACTAGTTACTATTTGGTTTCTCCCTTTCCAGTATGCAGCATTGGGATAAAGTTATAAGCAACCAGAGAAGGGGCCGACAAGCTTGCACCAGAGGCATATAAGGATGGTGGTCTAAGATTTTTGGCTAGACTGACTCAAGTGTTATGAAGGGCATCTAATCCTGATATAATCTTCAGTATGAGCGACAAATCGTTTTGTGATGACCGTAAACGTATAAACTTGACAAACACTTAACATTCTAAGTTATACAGTCATCAGGCACCTAAATGAAGTTCAGGAACAGAATTTATACCTGACCGTGGATATACGGATCCGGTCTTGGAAGACAAGTTCTCTTACTTGCTCCAGACACTAGTTGTATTTCTTGACCCAGGGACGTTGTTCGATACTGCTGATAGAGATTTCATGATAGTCTCCAATTGGAAAACGGGACCTAGTAAGTACGTCATTCCAATGAAAATCCTCGAACGTGTATGGTCGTGTTACACATGAAATAATAGCAACGAACTATGCTCACCTTGTGACGGCTACTACTCTCTGGGTAGCTAGACGTAGAAAGGGATTTGAATTCAAGGCTTTTTTGTTCAAAGTTTAGTAACTTGATCAATAAGTCACATAGTCACACAAAAATATTCGTATTATAGCCTCCAGTGAACTATAGAATGAGTTGTTTACGTTAAGTCTCTATCTTTCATCTTGGTGTCTTCTACCTTGATATCCTGATGTGAGTTGTAACAACTTGAACCGTTAAGTAACAATACCAAGTCCAAAGTTACTGCTGAATGACCTAAGTTCTAGAATATTACATTTTTAACAAGCCAGTCGGTTTACTCATCACCAGTAAAAAGAAATCAATCTACAAAGTACTATAATAAAATTTTATGATTTGTAAATTACTGTACAAGTATCACTTTTTTGAGTTTCTTCACCTTCAACTGTTTTTATCAAGGTGTCAACTTCACTTTGATTGATAAGACGGACATAGGTCTTCTCGTTGCGTCTTTGAAGTACGCCAATCTCAACCTTTAGAAGAAGAAATTAAGTGTCATTTATCCAGAATAAAGGTGCAAACAGTTTTAATAACAAGGAGCTTTACCTTTTCAGAAGTCAGTTTAGACATTGTCATTGTTTTGTACAAAACCTTTACGCACAGTTTGGTGGCTTCTTCAACTGTTGCGTCAGCATTGTAATCTTGTTCCAAAATGGATCCAGCTGCAGTTGAATTCGACCCAATACATGTGGCATTCCATCCTAGGAAGTTGCCTGATGGATCTGTCTGATATAGTTGATAACCGTAACGCTTATCCCATCCGATAAACAGCATGGAGACACCGAAGGGTCTTCTACCACCATACATAGTATATCCATGTTGGAGGTCACATATATGACAAACAAGCTGTTCTACGGGCATAGGCTCTTGGTAAGACAGCAAATATCTACAATGGGAATATGACAGTATTGCGGCACGGGTTAGAACTTACGGAAAGCGCATAGCTAGTACATTTTTAAGGTTTCAAAGTTTGTTTCCTATGGACATTTAAAGATACTGAAGTTTACCTGGCAACAAATACTATCACTGTTTTATTTAAGGCAAGTCAAGTGGGTTGACGACAGCCCACATTGCTCACTAACACCTGATCACAAAAATGCATTCTTCATTGTTCTTACGAAAAATCAGATTTTTCGTAAGTTACGAAGAAGTCATACAAATACATTCTTGTATACAACACTTTATTCGAGCTCATCTGGTTTTCTAGTCTGGGAGACTATGTGGAAATCTGACTGACATCTATTCAGAATGTTTATGTCTCTCCGTGATGGTTATCAACCTGAAACAAATAAATAAATTCCCACAAATCTCCAAATTGAAGGGGTTCTGTATCCAGTCTACTGATCGACTTAATTCTGTAGCGAAGTCAAAAATTCGACTTTATTGGGGCAGATGCATCTACACATTTTCATTCTAGCCATCGTATTACATTCCGTCATTTAACAACCCTTGTTCTCCCTTTCTATGGCTCTCTAGGGTTTTTGATGGAAAGTTTTCTCCGTCCTTCATGTCATTGCTGTGTCCTGATGTGCTGACGTGACTTATGGCAACTCAGACTGTAATGCATTATTGCTAAGGTTCCATGTCAATACTGACTGAAGAATCTCTCCACTACTCAGATAAAAGTTTATCATACTTTACGACGTGTAATGCCAGCTGAAGAATAACTATACAAGAGAAGGGTTAGTAACTAGATCAAGACTTCTTCGAGAATTGCTTGCACAATAAATTGTTCCGGACAGGTCGGAAACATTCTCAAAAATGCTGCCATTCGGTCTGAAATGAAGAGTGTAATCGAGCCTTGCCCTGAGTTTCTCCCTCACAACTGGTATAGCCAACTAAGGAATAAGCGAAACAACACAATATCAGTTTAACAAGAAAACACAAGTGACATTGGTATTAACCATAATGGAGAACTGATAAAGATTTTCCGTTTTTGGAAGACATTTCCTTATTTTTGTCTGCTTGAATGCACGAAGAACGCAGTTGAAAAAGTCTTTTGCTCGATTTGGTGACTTGGTTAAGTCTGCATCTAAAGTGAAAAATAAGCTACAGCATGATAGTAACTTTCAACCTAACATGACCGAGTGGTTGACGCGCCATAATAGCCATGACAGGGGAAATGAGAAGTCGGGAGCTCTTCAGTTTTCATGTTGTTTAAAGGCCAAATAACTGCTGAAACAGCTTTTCTGAGCTACACAAATGCCCGAGTTAATCTCTCAGTTGGAGAGAGAGCTCGAAATTTGACGTTGGCAATCGCAGAAACGCAGTTATTAGTGGGCTTAAGTTTATACTGGGGTCATCCGGAATCTACTTACGTCAGGAAGTACTAGGTTATTTTAGTTCCAGAGCTGAATTGGTGCTACACATCTAACACAATAAACAAATGGGCTAGACTACATTAGAAGCATACGTGAGCTTTCAAATTATAAGATGAAAAAAAAAGGAAGTTATTGTAACTACAACGTAGGTACACCAGTTTTAATAAACTATTAAATTAGTTCATACAAAACTACTTTCGTTCTAGAAGCTAAAGTAGCGGATACTTGGTTGTCCAAGATCAAAATGCTCCGCGTGAAAAAACGAGAAACGTTTGACGGCGTCGATCCAGACAGACTTTCCAAAAACAATGTCATTCTTTTATGAGTGTTCATCAATACAGAATGCAAAAAACTTAACATAATGCACTTAAACTTCACACAGCAGTGCCAGAATGTAACTGAAACACGCTACCTACTTCCACTACCAAGTAATGAACAAATTATAATTAATTCTAGGTTTACGGTATATGACACAGTTTATGACTGACTTGTACCTTCACCCGCATGTGTAAAGGTTATTAGGGAAGTTTGAACACTCACTAAACTTTCTTCAAATCCTTTTTCCTCTAACACATATTTACCTTAATGCCAACCTTTTTCTGCCCATTTGTTCTTTGCATGCTACTATGAAGTGTGACAGCTAGGACTGTTGTACCCCTGTCACAGACAGAAAAATCAAAGTAGGACCTCGCACAAGTGCCCTGGTTTAAGTTGCCACACTACAGCAGCATGAAAAGAATAAGTGGACAAAAAAGAATGATATCAAAATAGACAAAGTTGTGTAGAAGGAGACAAAACAAGGTTACTAAAAAAATTCAAGCTTTACAAGACATTAAAAAGTGAATACATCTGTGCCACTGTGACCGATTTCCAGCCAGGTCACTAAAAGTCTGCAACCACTAATTCCTGCCGTCTCAGGAACTACAGTCAAATAGTAAAATGACTACTCGAACAGTTCAACCGTGCTACACAAATGCTGGAGTTAATCTTTCAGCTGGAAATATTTGGGAGCGCAAAATTTGAGCTGTCTTCAAACCTAAGATAACTTCTCCTGGCATTGCATGCCGAGGTAAAAGTTGGCTCGGCATGCCCAACACATGTTCAAGTTATCTCAGTCGCTGTAGGTTGATAACCTCATCAACTCACACACCTTGCTTGACTAGAACCTTTTACCTGACTTTGACATTGATGACAAGGTGGTTTCACCATACGGGAATAATGCTACAGAGACACCTATGGTCAAAAACATGCAGTTTTGTCATATCTTCTACTTTTAGCGACCAAGTGTCACAGCCGTATGACATAAGAGAGTGGACTGCAGAGTGGTATACTCGTTCTTTAATAAATAGTCGGATATCTCAACGCCAGATATGATGTGTACTGTGTCCGAGGTGGGGTTCTGTCAGCAACCAGCTTGTTCGAGCTGGTCCAACTCCCTAAGTAGGTGAATTGGTCGACATATTTCACCACTTTACCTCCTATCATCAAATTGGCAGAACTTGCAGAAGATCAGTTCTGCAGTACCATCTTACATTTGACAGGTGGCAGGGAAACGCATGTCGAATACACTCAGATTTCTGCTCAACGCGTTTACAACACCCTACGTTGCGTCAGCCTCTCCAACCATCAGGATAGTATCATTTGCATACTACAAATCGACCGGGTAACCTCCACAAAGTAGGTCAATTCCTATGAAATCGGACTTACTTAAGCTTATATTCATTAGTACGTGGAATGGTGAAAGTGGCCATCCCCGGAGGACACCACTAGCTGTGATCAATTCACACGTCAATTCATAAGCTATAAGACGGCTGTGTGAGTTCGAGTAGACAGTTTTGATTAGCATTACATACTTGATCGGTGCTCACTTCATAGTCAGACACTGCTACAATATCTTACGGTCGACTGAGTCAAATGTCGCACTCATGTTAACAAATGTGGCAAGTGTTGGTCACTGGCCGGTAGATATGCTGTTTCGAAACCTATTGGAAGGTAAAAGTGTGATCGGAGCACCCTCATCAAAGTCTGAAACCTGCCTTGTTTTTTTCGAATTTGCTGTTCTCGAGCTCCACTTAGGCATGGGATAACTATGGACCCTGGGATCTTGGACACAATATTATTAAGACTAATTTCCCCATGGTTATCACAAGACTTCTCCCACTTCTACTACCTCTGATTCCCATACGCTAACTAGTACTTCTGTTACTCTACTCAGTAATTTCCTACCTCCATCCCCAGAAAGGTTATTAGCATACATGCCTTTCGTTGATGGTTTCACTCATCATCGTTGTCTCCTTGGTATTATTCTTAATAAGCCTAAATAATTGGCTAGGATTACTTAATTCTGACGCCTCCAGCTCTCACTTTCATCACCCACCACTACTTACGATTTTTGCGAAGACTCCGCGTCAATTTACTTCTGATCTGCTTCTGCTCCTCAGTTTGGTCAAATCATGTCATTTTGGACGAGGTTGAGGAAATCTACTGGCCTTTGCTAAACTTTCGAAACAAAATATCAACTGTATTAATCGCTGTTTCTATAGCAGATTTAATGTACACCCAGGTTTCATCAGGAAGAGAATCGCTGTCATGTTAATACAAATACTTCCTTATCTCCTTAAATATCCACCTGACGTTCCCTTTCAGTTGTTTCCTGCATTCATTACAGCATAAACATGCAATCACTTTTGCTAACGTGTGACTGGAGTTCAAGCAGGTACTTCGAAAGGAACGGCAATCATAGATCGATCCTCAACAATGATGGCTTAAAGCAAAATGAGCTTTGCCCAGTTTACTTCCAAAAACTGAGTTTTGCCTTAAAACCGTTAAACCTAGCAGCTTGTGGAAGACCAGGTTATATCTTCAACCGTTACGCACTGTGTTTGTACTCAGGTACAAGAACATGCATGTCGTTATTGAGTTGCAATGTTATATACCAGTTTTATTTTTTCCTTCTTACAGGCGGATGTTAAAACAGTACACGAGAACGTAAATGAAGGATGAAAACCGATTCTGAAAAATGAAGTAAAATGGTTTCCATTTGTTCAGTGTAGTACGTTGTGCATTTACCAAGCATTTATTATATCGGATTTTTAACGTACACTGTGAACAGTCCAAAAAATTGATCATGTACACTTCTCCCTGTTATCCTGAAGAATGCTGCCAAGGATTTCAATGCCCACCTTAAACCAACATAGCATTACTGTTTCGATTAGCATCTTGTATACTTTTGGGATGAAGTGTGCGTGAAATATGACATCCACAGAGGCTTACTGTTTTCCAACCATATATAATGGTTAGTGATGAGACAGTCTCATGCGTCCCGAAGGAAGGTGACACCGCCTATGGCGCCGCCGTGATATTCGTTTGTCTATTAAGGGTTGCGTGTACCGCACAGCAGTCCACTCTGTTCTACTGTATGGCTGTGAAACATAGCCATCGAAAGTGGAAGATATAAAAAGGCTTCAAGTGTTTGACCACCATTGCCTTCGTAGTATAGGACGTATTCCGTGGTGTCACCATGTGAGTAATGCAGAAATCAGGTGAAGAGTTTTAATAAGAAGAGGTAAGTCAATTGACGAGGTTATGAACCTTCACCGACTGAGATAGCTGGTTGGGACACGTACTACGTATGCCAGTCACCGATTGCATCGTCACACAATGCTGGCCGAAGTAGGTCCAGGCTGGAAAAAGGCCCGAGGTGGCCAGAATAAAACATGGCACCAATGTATGAAGTCTCTGACTGTTGGTTTAAGCCATGTAGGACTATGCAGACTAGGTAGTTGGGGTCCACGGGACAAGAGGAACCAGTGGTTGGAGACTCTAGGTGATATGGCTCAGAACCGATGTCAGTGGGGCAGATGCATACACACATTATCTTCATCTTAACGACACTAGACCGCATCCCACCATTTTGTCACTCCTCTTTTCTTTCTTTTCGTACTTTATATTTCTTTTGACTGCATTCACTTATTTTCATCCTTCACCTCACTACCTTTCTACTTGATGAACTGACGTGAGGTGTGGCAACTCGGACCGTTAAGCAGTAATGCCTGGTCCTATGTTGATATTGATTGATTGAGAAAGGTACGACTTTTTTTTATCGTAGGAAAAGAGTGAACTAGTTTCGGTACTTCTCAATGAGTATGTAGCTGAAAGTTATTCGGTCTTCATTTACTTTAGGCACAGAGACAAAGAACCGAATCAGCAGTCTAGTCAAATTCGAGAACTTCATAGATTGGTCAGTAATAAGAGCTTATCTTCACAAATAAAAACGGCAAAAAGCAGTAAAAGGTAAGTTTAGCCATGATACAGGTAACTATAGCAAGCATTATCATAAACAGATTAGTCGAACTAATCAGTCTCACGAACGGCAGGCTTTGAAAAATTTAAAGTCACCAGTTGGTTGGAGGACTGAGGATAGACAAACTTTATACGCTGACAAACTCTAACCCCATGACTAATGGTTGAAGCTTTATTGGGCACCTCGAAAATGCCATAAGTGAGTTTCTACATTCAATGGTTGAGCAGTTTTAAAATAATGAAACTATATTCAGAATGGCTCTAAAACAGGTTTGAAGCAGATTCTTACATACTTATGTACATTTTTTTTTGATTTTATCCTACATCAACGATGAACTGGGTATAACACCTTAGAAAACGTTTTTGCTACTAGAGGTTCCAACAACAAATATTTCTACTTCTAGGTTAAGCACACCCTTTAGACCACATAATAGTGAGATGAAGCCAACGAAATCAGTGATACTAAATGGTCAGTTTCAAACGTAATTGTAGTCTAAACAGCTGAATACTACTGGTCTTAGACAAGGAAAAATAGGGTGCAACAGCGACCAGTAATCAAAAGTTGGAGAAGAGAGACGCACAAATGTTATTAAGCTCTTCCCTTCCCGTGTGACGACAATCCACAAGAGAGGGGTTTTGACAACCCAAGAATTAATCGAAGTAACTCAGGCGGGGATAAGTGAAAACAAATGGTGGAAACCTTCTGAAATAAACAGAATAAGAGATAACTCTAAGTGCAATTCCAGTCTTCATGGGATCGAGTAAAATCCTTAAAAATAACGGATACTAAGTGTTAACCTGGAGTGTAACGGTCTCAAACCCTCGAAAACACACTGGTTTTGGACTGAAAAAATATACTACTAACGAAAAGCAATACCTTTGAGCAATCAGGCGCATTTCATTAATCAAAACTGTAGCATCAGCTGTAATACCAGCGACAGCACATGCTATGTCATCATTGATCTTGTAAATCTTTTCAGAAAATACTGTCTCGTCCAGTAGGTTGTTAATAAAACGCTTCTCAGCAGCCAAAACTATCCCGTCTTTCGCAACAACTCCCAAACATGTACCTGCATGTCCCACAGCTTCCATTGCATATTCCACTTGGTACAAGCGGCCTGGAACACAATTTAAATGAAAAGACAGAATAGCGACAAACCTTCAGGGGAGAAAATTGTCGTTCTTGTATCATACCTACGAGCCTTTATTTAAAATGAATTAGAAAACCCACAACCAACCATCTTAACTCAGGAAAATCTTTGTATTGAGCGCAGGTCACAGATGAAGTGAAACAAAGATTTACCTACGGCTAACAAATTCCTACTAAACTGAAGTCAAAAGGATAACAACCAGGATGAAATACTAAAGATTAAATGCTATGTCCACATCCTCAGTTTTAGACTGCAAGCGGAAAAAGAGGCTGAATTCAAAACCTACACCCTTGCAAGCTTTTTGGACGAAAGTCAAGTTAATATATGTATATGTATATATAGTCCCAGCGTGTTAAAAATTTCTGAACAATCTTTTGTGCAAACTACAGCTTCTTCAGGAGAAATATCTCGTATTCGGTTTTCTCAACACGCTGGGATGATATTAAAACTTACCTATATAATGAATCAATCGGACTCGGCGCTCAACTTCTTTCAGGACATTCACAATAACTATGGCATGTATATTTATGACCTGGAAACCTAGTTTTTCCCGGGTGTTCTAATGGTCTTGGAATGTAAACTCGCGCAACGAACCTGGTATAAATTCCAGTTAAGCGGCTTTTTCAGAATTGACGGTAGAGTTTCAAATGTCATAGTTTGGTACTCATGGCAATTCTCGGAAATTAATATTATGGTTCAGATGGTTGCTGATGGAGTTGAAGAGGCTTTCGCTTAGCTCGTGGATAACTACTAGTGGCTGTTAACCTGCGCACGAGCAAAGAAGGAGGAAACAGCGGCGGTTAAAGTGTGAAAATTCAATTAATTCTGGGAAGATCCCAGCCACATGCCAGATAAGCACCCAGCCAACGTTTGAAGGATCCAGGCAAAGTAGCCCGAAGTACGTTTGCAGGAAGAGCATTCCAGGGTCTAACAACTCTTAAGGGATAGAAGTTGTGCCTGAGATCTAGCCTGCTATGTTCCAAGTTCAGTTTCTTTACATGCCCTCCATGATTAGTGCTGCGACTAGGATTCAATAAGTGACGGAGTGGGGGTCCGGAAGCACCGAGGATGTCATGAGTTATTATCTAGTCTCCACTTAGCCTTCTTTGTTTCAGTGGATATTGATCCAACACAGCCAATCTTCCTTCTTGTGTTTTGGACTTAAGTTCCCAAACGGATATGTTCGGGTGCTTTTGGATGCATTCCGAGTTTAAGTCGTCCATCTGTAGAGAAGGGGGATGGGATGGTTCCGAAATGCGGGCGTGGCCATACAAAGCTGTTGAAAATTTGACGGGTATGCCCGCGACCGAGTCGTACGGAAATTCTGCCAGGGGTGACCAACTTCAAGTTATCGCGAAATGAGGTTCTGTCACCGCTGGCATACGATGTTAAGTCCTGGGGGACTTGAACGCTTGAATCCTTCTCCATGAGCTACGCTTCAAGTGCCGTGTCGCCAAAGCTATGTGCATGCCATACTTCGTGTTTTATGAGCATCACCCTTCATTTTTCTGGATTAAGTGAGAGGCCATTAGTGACTGCCCAGTTGTGAACTTAAGTTAAATCTTCCTGTGTGGAAGAACCGCCTTCCTCACTTTTGATCCCGCTCCGTATTTTCACGCCGAAGAAAACCAGTCAGTGAGCGGTGGTCTTATCCCTATTAATTTTAATTTATCGATAAGGCAGTCGTGAGTAACACGATCAAACGCCTAAGCGAAGTCTAAGCTGATAACATCAATTTAACCTCGACGGCCGAAAACGCTAGTCCATCTACCTACTGTAGTGGACAGATTAGTAATGCAGAAGTACCCTTTTCTAAACCCGTGTTCTTGGGGTGTAAGAAAGCTAATCACTGTAAGGTGATCCGTCAGCCACTCATAGATCAATGGTTCCATTGCTCTGGAAGGTGTGAATAAAAGCGTTACTGGTCTGTATTTGAGTTGCTCCTTTAGGTTTGATCATTAAATCTCCTATTGAAACATCAGGGTCAGAGCTTCGTACGAGATCACTTTCGGTTGGCTTGGTTATTAGGTAAACGGTCATCGGGAGTCGAAGAACCTGCATTTTCGGGCACAAACGGCACTTATAATCAGTATTTTTGGATGCAGCTCCAACTGGAGCCATGAATTTTGTAGAGCTCATAAGTTGAGATGAAGTGTCTAGTTTTTGCATCTCCAGGTGGTCAGAAACGATAGCTCGCGCATGCTGAATGGAAGTTCGAAGTTTATACCAATGCTAAGTGCACGTTGGTGTCATCCGCGGAATAAATATAGCTGCGGTCTATGTCACTAAGTCATGAAAATGCCTTGCTTCCTTTTAGCGGTGTCCTGAATTTGCGTTCTTCCAAAAACTATTGCTAATGACAGATGTTTCAGTGTGGCAGACAACTGATTTCCCTTCTCGAATGTGACTGAGTGACTCTTAGTGGGAAATTGAAAGGCCACCGTGTTTTTATTGGCATCAAACATCCCTATGCCACCATCATTTCAAAATCTGAAAAACTTTTATCGTGGATGCTCAGAACTGAAGAACTTTGACCCATTCTCACCATACAAAACCCTCCGTCATTTCAGCGCAGTGAAGCCTTCACGATGGCATCAGCCCTATAACAGAAATTCACCCCAAAACTGAAGGCTAGGGATTTAAGGTACGTTTAAGGAACACTCTTTCCCCTCTCTGTTCCTGAGCGTAGAGTAGGTGCCCTAAAGTAAACTCGATTCACCATTGGAGAGTGGATAACGCGCGTTTTGCGTTATGCGAAAGGGCAATAACGCCATCATTTACCGAACAGCCGTGGCCTTCCATCCCTAATATATGTATATATATGCACATATACATATCCTCTTGTGTCACACACGTCGCCACATCAACCTGTCCATTCATCCAATAGTTTGTACTAGTTGTATTCGAAACATCTGAGTCACGGCTATGGTTCTCCACGTGATGATACCGACAGATGGTCATGAAAACTACTCCTTGACTAAGCTTAACTGTTAGAACTAGCATTAAAATTTGGAAGGGAGCAATGTTCCTTTACAATAAATCAAAAGTTACACTTTAATAAGGTGTAATTACAGTAATCTTACGCCTTCATGCACTCCCTTCTACATTTTTCGAGGTGTTCCGCAACTCTACCACACACTCCTTGGTACACCCAAAAGAATGATGGCCTGCATATCCCATGTTCGATACTAAGACGTAAGTAACGTTTGATAATATTATACTTTCCCCGAAGGGCAGGGACAGACCATTTCTGTAGGCGCGGACAGATTTAAAACGTTATAGCCTGGCTATTTTACGGTGGTCAGTGAAAACCCACACTATCTGCAGAACGTGCTCGTCAAGTAAATCAGGAGCAGACATTTCACGTCTCGCGGCGTTAGCTATTCCCAAGAAGTTACTCGTTGATTTCATGCGTATCTACGACTTAGTTCGAAAATGAAGGTCAAGAGTTGCAGCATGAGCTTCCGTAGGCATCTGTTCTGAAATGGGACCGAACATCACTTTTGCTCGTCCATACCCGAGTGATAAACAACTTCTTGGACCGCTGTAGTCACAACTCACACGAGTGTTTTCGGCTCAGTACGCTAGTTTGAAACATTCGGGAAGTGATGATAGGGTATCGACAGCATTATTAATGGTATGTTTACGCCTACGTGGTAAGGGTTTCGTTTAAACGATAAAGGCTTGACCGGGGCCGCCACTAGAGCGGTTCTGGAGGTGCACAAAGTGAGCCGGTGAAGCCGCTAAAGAAGAAGGGACTAATCAGCAACCGACCAAACTTAGATGTTGGTTTAGGCGCCTTCATCTCACTGAGAAGTCAGTTCCAAATCTGAGAAAACCTCACAGTGGAGAAATTCGCACTGGGAGAGAGCTTAAAAGGCCTCACCGTAGAGTCTTAAGTTTGGTTGCACAGATTATAAGGGCTTATAGGTTTGAACTGGGATCTATCATTGAACGTTAAGGCGAATCTGCGTGGTATATTGAAGAAAAGCGCGCGGTTAATTGTGATTCGTCTATTCCCGAGCGGTTTCAGATTCAGAGTCATGCATCTGGACTTGCAGCCCTGCTTGCACTCGTATCTCAGAGGCCTGTATGTCATATACCCTTGAAAATCAATAATTTTTTATTAGTCGTTCAAGCGAATACCATCCAGAATAAATGGGCAGCACTCCTACAGTGACCAAGTACAAGTCTCTTTGGATAACAGCCTTGCATATTTGAAGCAAAAGCTGCTGAATATCCATCCAAATAGCATTACGGATTTGGAAGTCTTCGGGGAAGCCCATTCAAAAGGCCTAATGTCAGAAACTTACTCATCCGCAGTAAGTTATCAACTCCGTGGAATCCCTCGGAGATGTCTAGATAAAGTGCAATGATTGATTGACCTGAGTCACGCACAGTGATTATGAAGCTAACGAAGCCAAAATGACAGGCTATGCAAGACCCTGACCATAGGAATCCGTGCTAATGATATGTGATGTTTTTAACGTCATGTGTGCTTTGAAAAACGCTTCACGCGATTTGTCCACAACTTTAGGCGACCAAAGCGCAACACTTACTAGTCTACGGTTAATGGCTCCTTTGGGGGCAAAACTTATTCCTGGGTAGAAAAAATGAACTTTCCGGAAATCAAGATATATGAAAGAATGCAGAGATATAGAAAGTGTCTTAGGGGGGTCACAGAGTCTGGCAAAATAATATTGTATCCCCTCTGTGCCGGCGCCAGTGGGGCGTTTTGGTGTTTGAATGGCTTCGTCGATGTTGGTACATGCGAACTCGGCGGTGCTCACTGGCGTTTCTTAGTAATAATAATATATTTCATACGACATAAGTCATATGAAAACGAACTAGTTTACAGGTTTGATCATTTTGACAATGTGAACCGACTGTTGTGTGCAATATCATGCTATGCTACAGACACCGTTCTTTCCGGTACGTAGAAGATGCGTGCAGAGTTAACGGTTCTCAGACAGCAAAGAATGAAACAGATAAGCACCAGCATGATTGCCCATCATACTGAGGCAAGCTCAGTTCGAAAGTAGGAATTATCCGGCCATCGTTTGAATCTTCCAATATTCTTGAGGGCAGGGCGGGTAGTGCAACCGTGACTTTGGGCTGTATGCGTTCGTCATAAGGTTTAGATGGTACAATGCGCGCTGACAAATTAGACTACTAGGATTCCATATGCATAAAGGACTGGTTGGGCAAACCTGAAAAATGAATAACATAAGCGGGCAGCAGACGAGATTCGATGCAGGGGCACACTCGTACCATAGAAGGAACTCGCAGGTTCCAGGTGACGAACTAAAAATGTGTCGACGAACAGTTCGAACATTTCTAGTGCGTTACTGTAAGCCTTTCCGGCATGAATCAATTTCAGGATATTACGTCTTATGCAGTCTGATCCTTTTTTAGTGAGCATGGAGAGAGCGTGCACCCTGGGTGAGCCATTCAGGCGATTATTCTATTCACTCCGCACTCGCATATCGTGGTAGCGCGAGATAGCGCGGAAACATTAGGAATTAGCCGAAGCGGCTCAAAGATATAATCAAGGCGATGTTTTGTCGAAGACTGGCTTAACTGTCTACAGGTGCTACGGGGTCTAA